CGTGGTTGTTAATGGTCGCTATGGTTATCTACCCTCCCTATTAATCCTAACCTAAAAAGCTAAGGCCAAAAGCCACGAAAACGGCTCTGGAGCCACGAAAATAGCTCCTAATCAACTAAAAAACAAGGGATCTCCTAATCGACGAATCCTAAACCTAATAACTATAAAAACGGGTGTAAAAAGTCGCTCCTAAGACTATAAGGTTACGGCTCGGGCTACTAAGTAGTCGCTACTAAACAGGAGTAGCGTAGGCACGCTAACGGAGGCACGAAAAGGACTACCTAACTACTAATAACTAGCCCAGTACCGATTAACCTAAGATTATAGCTATAAATAGCTATAATCGGTTAATCGGCCAGCTAAAAACGGCAGCTAGGAAAGGGAAGACTAAAAACGGCAATCGAGGATAGCTAGAAAGGCATAGCAAGAAACGAGTAAATAGCTATAGGTCGTAATATCTATAGGTCTAAGTCTGGCTAATGAAAATATAAGTACGCGACCCATATAAATACACATCGAAAAGGCTACGTGGCCTAGATCCACCGCACCACTATAATAGTTACTCTATATAGGCATAAGGCCTATCGTAACGTGTTACGTAATGCATCAAGAGAGCATGTCTTACCGCACCACTACAATACTTATATAACCTATAGTATATACGGAAGGCGGTTTTTCATTCGTCGCCTTCCTTAATTCGTACTATATAAAAACCCGACTTTAGATTAATTTTAATAAACCATCGCGTTATTTAGAATAAGTTCTATAGTTTATTAATTAACGGGATAAGATATCGGACGGGTATTATGATTTTATTTAACCCCCGATAATTAGCTATTAATCTTAATACGCTAAGGTTCTTTTTATTTACGAATATTATAGATATACCGTATAGAGCTTTAGATTTCCTAATTCTTCCTATGGTTATTATTTTATCGAGCTAAGGTTTTAAGGCTTCTAGTTATCGCTTATTTATAACGTATAAGGATTCCTACGGGGAAGTAGTCCCTAAACGAAGCTCGATAACGTAGTCCTATAATTACCGGTCGGGGAACCGTTATCCCGCTTCCTAGGTTATAATGGGAACGAAGTCGCGAAATTATTCGGGTACTTATAATAAAGCGTTCTTTTCTCGCGTAGTTCCTATACGAGTTAGCCGTAAGCGATAGTTCCGGTATTAAGGCGAATTAAAGTATAATCGTCCTTCCGTAAATAGCCCTTAGGGAAGGTATTCCTTTATTTATTATTACGGTAGAATAGCGTTAACCTCTTTATCTAATTTACTAACTTCTTAAGCGACGTAATAAATATATTCGTAATTACGGAGCTTCATTTCGTTCGTATATTAGAGTCCTTCCGACGAGATTTCAAAGCTATCGAATCTTATTAAGGTTCTTAGCTTTAAGCGTTAATTAATAAGAAGGCGTAGTTACTTAACTTTAGCGGCGTTAATTAAAAGTACCTCGCTACCGATATCTAGAAGGACTCGTAAGAGATATTCTCTTTCTTAATGTTTTATCTATATTATATGGATCGGTCGTTTATCCGATCTCGGTTCGCTTAGGTTACGCTAAAGGACTCGTAGTTTTTTCGCCGTTAGTACTACTTACGTTACTTCCGGCGTTCTAGGCCGCTTTATAGCTATAATCTTTACGTTATCTTTATCGCTCCTTCCTTCCGTTAACGCTTACGGGGGAGCATTTAAAAATCCCGTTCCTCGTCGGAATCGGATAATTCCATAATGCGAGGAAGGATTTCCTCTTATCGTATGGTAATATCGATTCTAGCTCTTTTATTAGGTAACGGTTCGGGTTTCTTCCTTTTTCTTTTCCTTAATAAAACCTTCTTAGGTAGTACGAATAAGTTCCGTCCTTCTAAGTCCTTTTTTACGAAGCAAGCTAAGGTTTAATAATTATCCCTTCTATACCGCTAGTAGGCTTTCTTATCCTTCTTTCGCTAATCGATTACGGCTTAATTAATCCCGGCTAAAGCCTTCTTATTATTTATTTACCGTAAGTCCTTAGCCGGTACGGGTTTCTTATTATTTTTACTTTTACGTTCGTTTACCGGTTAGCTTAAGCGGAAGCGAGTTTCTTTTACGGGTTACCTTTATTACTAATCCGCTTTCGTATACTCCTTTTACGAAGCGGACCTTCCTTTTCCCGAAATCCTTAAGTTAGTTATTATGTTTTTATAGATTTAGCCGGCTTCCTTAATTACTTTAAGGAAGGCTTTATCGCTTTCGGGGATACTACTTAGTCGTAAATAAACTAGCTTAGTTATTTTATCGGATAAGGTATAGATAATATAATTCTAGAAAGTAGTTCCCGATTATTAGACGACGTCGTTAAGATCCATAAGTTCGGTAAGGTACTAGGAAATATCTCCTTAGTATTTAAGTTTTTATATTTTTTTAGAATTACGATATCGTTCGGCGGGGTCCTTAAATCGTTCCTAGAGGGCTTAGGAATATCCTACCTAAGTATCGACGATTATTAACCTTTCTACCTAGGCTAGCCTTTATTAATGCTAAAGCTAGGCCTTCTCGGTAAGTATCGATTCTACCTAGTTAATTTTCTAAACGTCCCGGGTAAAGCTTTCTTTATAGGTTTCGAGATAGGATTTAACTTTAATTTATTAAGGGCGGAACTTAACTAAGTCCTTATTATTATAAGCCGTAGGCTTAATAAGATATACCGGATTAATCGTTACCGTAATACTTCGCTAATTATTTATAGCTTTAGTCTAGGCCCGAATCATACGTTCTTCGGCTAGGTTAAAAGGCTCTTAAGATTCTTTAGGGATACCCGGGAAGCGTCGTAATTTCTAAGGATTCCCGGATTTTAAGCCATCCGAATTATCGGAATCCCTTAAATTTCCTAAGGTATTTCGTAAGATCCTTAGCGGTAGTAGTAATCCTAACCCGGCCCCTTTTAATATAAAGGTACTTATAGCGGCGTTTTAGAAACGGACCCGCGCGCGTATAGCGATGCGTTTAGCCGCGGTATCCTATAATACGCCGTCGGAAATAATCTCCCTTATTTTAGCCTCGTTACTAATATATCTTTCCGTTAACGCCGTCGTAAGGCGAGTAATTAATACGGGAGTAAATATCCTAGCCCTTTAACTAGTTCTAGCGATAATAGATTCGATATCCGTTAACTTATTACTTAATCGTCGTTATTAATATTTCTTAATTAAATTAACTACGTAAGCCTTAAGATTATCCTTAATAAATTAAATCTTTTCTTTTATAGCCCCGGGAGTAAGGTATTCTTTACTAAGGATCTCGTTAATCTATTTATTCTTTTACGTAGCTTATAAGCTAACGTCCGTTATTAATTTATTATATTCTTCGCGTAATTAAACTAAGGCTCGTTAATTCTAAAAGGCGGCGTTTCGGAATTAATCTACGGTAACGGTCCGTGCTTTATCCTATCGGGCGAACTTAGCTATTATTTCCCATACGTTTTAAGCGAAATAAGTACTTTATTCTACGACCTACTTCTAGAACTTATGAATCTATATCTTCGTAATCCTTATACCGGTAGCTTATATAGCCGTAGCGGTTTAATAAAGCTATCGTAATTATTCGTATTATTTCTTTAGGATCGTATTTTATCGATATCTTATATCGACCTAGTTAACTAGTATCGCTAGGCTTTAATATACTTATTCCATTTATTCGTATAAGTCTACGATTTATTACGGAAGGTCTCGTATAATTACTCCTAAGTTCGCGATTTCCGGAGTATTAATTATAATTACCTCGTATTCTTAGGGTTAATATACTACGAGGGATTTATCGGTCGGTTCGGGGGTTACTTCTAATTAAAGCGCCGGAAAGGTTCGCTATCGTTCGGCGTCCTTTACTTTTAACTCGGCTATCGCGGTTTTTAGTTTATTAATCGTAGCTATTATTTAAGCTACCTCTACCATGGAAATCGACGCTAGCTCCGAGGTAGCTAGTCGCGGAAGTAGAAACGCCTATAGCTTCGGACCTTTAGTAAAGGATCGGGATTAATCTAATAATAATAATACCGGGGCGGCGGTTACGGCGTACGACGTAAGCTTAGGCGTAAGCTTCCCTTATTACTAGCTTATAATAAGGTTATAAGGATAAGAGTAATATAGAATTATTTATAACAAAGGAATATACTTAAAATAAATTTAATTTAACTAATAATTCTATAAAGGGTCTCTTAGGTTCTTATCCCTTTTTAGGTTTCCCGGTCCCTTTCTCGTCCTAATATATTCCAGGAGTACCTCCGTATCTTAGTATCTAGGTACCTTAATGCCGAAGCTATCCGTAGCTTATCTAGGACTTTTCTTAGTAGGTCGCCGAGATAACGGCCCTGCTGCCCGATATTATCCTCCTGACCCGTATGACCTGATTATTGGTACAGGGTTCCATCCCCGTGTGACAGACATGGCCAGGTTCCGTGTATCCAAACTCCCACGGATTTATGTAAAAACACATCTAGATATTTCCTAGCCCGCGCACTACCCCTAGATCTAGTGCCCACCAGGTCAGCTTGTGTCCGTAGCCGAGGATGAGGAACGCTGTTCAACGCTTGGCAACTGGGAGTTGCCATCAAGGTCCTCGAGCAGGAAGACGATTTTCCTGCTATGGAGATTCTCTGGTCGGCAGCCGACGTCAAGAAACGCTCTCTCCAGTCTCAGACGCGAATTCCAAGAACTTCGGATCAATCCGAAGTTGTCTGCTGAAAATGCGCACGCACTTCGTCGGGAGCGTGATACTGCTACTATGGCTCACCCTGACCTCTAAACATGCTCTTTCTAGCACCACGCACGATCTAGAACCGCAACTAGACAATGGCTAAGGTACGACGTCTAAAGCAAAGCGAGAGAGACAAGATTTCTAAAAGCCGTCTACAGCCCAGAACGTGCTACAGGCGGGCGTCGCTGGCGTAGATATCACCCAATTTGGGGCGATAGGCGTCGAGCCTGACACAGAGCGACACCGCGAAGAGAAGAAGCGGCTCCTGCAGCGAGTCGACAAGTCCCACGGCACATACAACGTCCACCACCGGCAGTGGCGGCTGCTCAAGACCATCTACAGCCTCCGGCGGTACCGCGAGATGAACAAGGCCGAGGTGAAGCGGTGGCGCGACCTGTACCAGCAGGTGTCCGAAGAGCAGAAATCGGTACGTCCCCAGTTACCCCCCCTTCCAGCACTCTTCATCGTCCCCGCGTCCACGTAGCCGACTTACTTACTCCACGCGGGGCCAGGTCCTCGAGGTACAGCGACAAGCTGAACCGGATCGAGCACCTGATCGACCGCAACGGGGCGGTGTGCGACGCGATCGCGGACACGGCGACAGCGTACTAGGGGCTGGCGGCGGACGAGGTGGCGGCGTTCGCGCGCGCCGAGGACGCCGCGGGCCGCGGGCTGGACCGCGTCAGCGTGTCGCAGGCGCTCAAGCACTACGTGCGGGACTGGGCGGAGGAGGGCGCGGCGGAGCGGAGCGCGGCGTTCCCGTGCGTGCTGGGCGCGCTGGAGCAGCTGTTCCCGAGGCGCTGCGACGGCGGCGGCGCGCAGTTCGACCTGCACCCCTTCGTCGACGGGCTGTCGCTCCACGCGACGACGGCGGACCTGCTGCGCGGCGTGCGCGTGCCCTCGTTCCTCGACGCCGAGCGCGTGCTCCTCGCCGAGGGCGACTTCACCACCGCCTTCGCCAACCCGGCGCACGCCGCGCGCTACGACGCCGTCGTCACGCACTTCTTCATCGACACGGCGCGCAACCTGGCCGCCTACCTCGACACGATCCGCCGGCTGCTGCGGCCGGGCCCGGGCGGCGGCCGCTGGGTCAACTTCGGCCCGCTGCTGTGCGGCGCGGCGCCCTTCGTCCAGCTCTCGCTCGACGAGGTCGTGCGCGTCGCCGAGGCCGTGGGCTTCGAGTTCGAGCCCCTCGGCCCCCCCGCCGACGAGAGCAACGTCTGCGGCTCGCTGACGTTCCCCGGCGCCGAGGGCGGCCTCGGCATGGTCAGGGGCAGGGACGCGGCGTACGGGTTCGACGCGCGCGAGCTGCGGCGCAATGCGTACATCGCGCAGGCGTGGGTTGCGAGGAGAGTGAGATAGGGGGTCGGCAGATAATGTACCTAGCTGTGCGAGGAAGATTTGATATTGACACGGCTCAAACAGCTGCCCCTGTTGCACACAGTCACCCTCAAACCGAAAAGAGCGCGTGCCTCGCGCCTCTTGAGCCGGTAGGTGAGGACAAGAATGGCAAAAGGAATGGGCGTGGACTGATTAGGCCACATTATCGCGGAACCCGACATCGCGTCTTGGCGTGTCCGGAGACGAATACTATGAGCAGCACGACGCTGCTTAGGTTTCTAGCAAGTCCCGCGCATTACTCATTAACCCAGCGGCTTGTTGTATCATCTAACCCTTCCTCTCGTCCTGGTAGTAGATGGATAAACACCTAGGCTACTTTAGTAACGCAGGTGTTTATACATGCTTATTGATAAGCCGTTGTGCCTTGTTCGGATACAAGATCCCTATCTTTACGTTGGTAGTATCGGCTTCTCAGTTCTGGATCCTCTAGTCGTAGATCGGCAGTGGTGCTAGGTCTGTCTATTATACGCGTGAGGTAGGACGATTCCAAGCCTGGCCATCCCCATCCAGGTCCCCATGGGTCCTGCGCAGCGCGGAATTCGGTAACGGGAGAGATTGCTGGGGGTTTCTCTGCGTTGACCACGAGTTCTCGGAGACGTTTTACCCCCCAGATAGTCTGGACCAAATGCAGGCAACAATTCGCAGATCCTGCTCGCTTTTGCTTAGCTGGACGTCTGACTGATTAATTTCCACATGTCTTTCAGCCCAATCCACGATCATGCTGACAATGCAACACCACGCCTTCAGCTCGCGGGGTCAGACGCACCGTCACTACAACAGCAACAACCACCCTCGCGACGTGAGCGGAACTGGCCTGCATATATGGTAGCATTTCCTTTATTTTCTTGTCCCTCTCTTATGGTCGATGACGCATCGCATAGGTACATGGAGCCAGGAGAGGAAACTGATCAAACCACAATGCGAGAGGGGGAAAAAACGCCCAGCTTACCTCCCCCGGACGCGATTCCGCCCTGCCAAGACGCCCACGAAGGCGGACCATGGTCTTAGACGACGCTAGCGCGACGGTTCGCTTGTGCGCCGTTTGTAAGTGGCTGCTCCGGCTGGGCTGGCGCTGGATCTGGGTTGGGCGGACGGGCGGGTGGCATTACCTATGCGGTGATGATCATGCTCGAGGATTGCCACCCCGCGCTGGCCCAATGGGAGATGCACCCTTAGCCGCGTGCGGCTGAGAGAGCCAGCTTCTAGAGCGGGCCTGCTGGGAGTCTGCTCGAGCCCTCGCGATAGGGGCTTAGCTGCTTTGAGGCCGCTTAGGCACCGTTAGTGACCGGCGAGCGGGGCAGAGAGACTCAACATGGACACGAGGGCAGACAGGCTTGGTTAGAGCCCCAGACGTATGGCTACGGACGGTGTGGGCTACGGGAGCTGAAGAGGGAACCGGTACAAATACCGGACGGGTGCCCCCGTCGTTGGCCGAGACCTAGACTGCGCTTGTGCGTAGGTATATCATGAGTCCTGAGAGGTCATCCCCAGCGTTTCGTTCACGCTATTTCGCACCCGGCCCTTAGGTGTAGCGAGCCTCAACAGGCGTCTCTTCGAGCATAGAAAGCTATACCGCATCCGATTATACGAGACAGGAAGAGTCAAAACATTGAGAATGGACCCCGAGGCAATCAAGCGAGGCCAGGTTATCATACCGACGCCGAAATGGTTCATCGCGTTGCGCGCCTTGCAGATCGTCCTCGGTATTATCCTCGTGGGCCTGACGGGATGGTGGATCCACGGCCTCTACTACGACGAGCTGGGTTTCGTCATCGTGTGTGTGAGTGGCCTTTTCTCTCTCCCCTACGCGAACGCGTTGCGCGCTAACATCGGCGGCAATGTGCTGCAGGGCATCTTCACCTGGATCATCGCGGCGTACGCGCTGCTGTCGGAGAAGGTGCCGGCGTGCCAGCGCGCGTACAACACGTGGGCGGTGCTCGCGCTGGACCTGCTCATGGTCATCTTCTGGCTCGCGGCCATGGGCGCGACCGCGCAGCTGCGCAGCCGCTTCACCATCCCCGTGAGCGCGACGTGCGTGAGCGACGGCAGCGCCATCAACAGCGGCCGCTGCACCGTCTGGAAGCGCGCCGGCGTCGCCACCAACAGCGCCCTCGCCGTCCTCAGCGGCATCGCCGGCCTCAGCGCCCTCGCCATGCTCCTCTTCGTCCCCACCTTCGCCTACGTCTGCCACTACTTCCGCCTCTCCTTCGCCGCCCGCGCCGCCGCCAACGACCCCGAGAAGAACCCCCCCGCCGGCGCCGTCCCCGGCGTCCCCAACCCCGCTACCGAGCTCCAGACCGGCCTCCCTCCGCCGTCCCAACCCCAGCCCGACCAGCACCAGTGGGGCCAGCCGCCGCAGTCGGTCTACCCCGTGCAGCAGCCCCCCGCCGGCGCTCCCCCGTTCCAGCAGGGTCCCGTGTACGACCCCTACGCGCCGCAGAACGCCGTCTACGGGGGCGCGGCGGGCACGTATCCGCCCCAGCAGCCGTACATCCCTACGGGCACGCCGGCCCCCGGCCAGCACTACACTCCGCAGGGCACGCCAGCGCCGGGGCCGGTCTACCAGCCGCCGGCCCAGTAGCAGGTCACGAGGTCGAGGTTCTTGCGGTTCGGATTGGATTTCGCGAGAAAAAGGGCGTTACGGGTTTGTCTGGCGAAGACGGTTCGCATGGAAGGGGTTAATTGATGCGGTGCATTTCCTTCGAGGGGAAGGACCTGCGTCGCGCGTAGTGTTGTGCAGACCGTCGGTATATACCATATCCCATTCTTGCGTCTCCAAACGCTTGGAATGCTCTAAAGAATCGTGATTCTGCCGTGAACTATATTAGCTAGAAGTACCATATCCCAACCGATATGTCTTGGATGGTGTCCCCGGTGTGGTTGGCCACGGCGCACGGCGTCAAAGTGCGCTACATGGAACGGTACGTGTAAATTTTTTGATAGATGTGCTCCTCGGCGAGTTCAAATCTCGATACGAGAACATGTGGCGAGCTGCCATTAAAAGGCGAGTGGTCTCTTGACCAAAAATCCCTAAAGATGATGAAAGTAAAAAAGTAGTTAAAAGTTATAAATCGCCGATCGTTAGGGGTCATGGGTGCGGATATAACTTGTGATAAACCCAAATAACTATTCTCCGCGTCCGCCGGTTACGATCTGTAAATCTCGTATTCCCCTCTGTGGTGTTTAGGACTGAGGCTTAGCAGGTAGCATTGCATCTCGTGGCAGCTCGAAACAAGATTTCCTTTTTCATCTCCCATTTAAGGGGAAGAATGTGTGATACGCCTGGACAATGGACGACGACGCCTATGCCCCAATGACCTAGAGGCATCACCTTTCGCCTTATTTGCGCGCCAGACGGCTCTCCGTTCGCGCATCTCTTCTCATACGCGACCCGTCTAAGATAGAGCTGTTCGCGCCGCATTTTTACCCCGCCTACTTTTATCATACCTCCGTGTTGTGATCTCAACACCATTTATCTCAATCAAATACCTCCACCGTAATGCACGCGTGTATAGGTCAACATCGAGTTGCCAACCGGTGTCGAGAAGGGATTAGCTTGCATTGTCTTCTAAAGGTGGGGGAGATGCTTCGGGAGCCGGGGTTTCTGTTATGGGGCCGCGAAGCATGCCAGGGCTGGGCGACGGGTACGGGGTCGGTATGTAACGCTGGGCCCCTGTTCCGATCGTGAAAGCCTCAATGTTGCGTGCTCACTACCGAGAGCTAGCCAGGCACGCGCACGCTTAGACAGGGGGGCCGTGACGCGGAAGGCGTTGGCATGTGTGCATAGGAAGCGTATCTAGGACTCTAGCGACGTATTTGTGAAGAGACTCGCCTGGGCAATGCGCGGCTCTCGCACGAGAAGGGCTAAGCGTCAAGTACGCAACCGCTCTCAACGACCTCGCTCGTTATCGCAAAACATACGCAGGTAATTAGACAGGGTATGCATTGTCTAGTGATTGGAAACCCAAGACATGTGATGCTCTATGGATCTGCCAGATTCCGAAGATAGGTTATATACAAGATATGATATATTATAAAATCCTTTTTCTATCCCTGTAGCCCTTTATCTCCGCCCGCTTCCTGCCTTGCTTGTGTATAATCTCTTATCCCATCCTCCTCCCCTCCCAAGCATCTCCCAATCCCTACAGCTGGAACGCGCCGAACGCAGTCGCGGAGAACAGCAGGGCGCCAATCGTCAAGCCGAGGGTCGACACGCCGGCGAAGTCGGGGCGAAGCACGGGGGCGGCGGCGGGGGAGTCGGACGAGTCGGGCGAGCTGTCGTCGGTGTTGCTGCTGCTGCTGCTGCCGGTCGGCCGGGTGTTGCCGTTGGTGAAGACGACGCTGGCGCTGGCGTCGGAGGGCAGGACCGCGCCAGTTGCAGCGCCGGTGGCCGTGGCGTTGACCTCGCCGCGGCAGAAGACGTCGCTGTAGGCGGCGCCGCGGTCGAACAGGCACGCCGTCAGCTCCGCGACCGTCTGCCCCGCCGCCAGGCAGTACAGCCCGCACCCGTCGTAGTACGACACCACGTCCGCGTTCTGGCAGCACGCCGCCATCACGTCTGTGTAGTTCCCGCTCGACGGCATCGCGCACACCGCGTCGTGCACCGGCGTGTCGAAGAGCCGCACGCCGCACGCCGACGAGGGCGTCACCTTCGGGGCCGAGACGGTCGCTGTGGCTGTGGTAGTAGCCATGTTGCTGGTGTTGTTGTGGTGGTGTCGAGCAGTGTTATGCTAAGCAGCGTTCCCGTCGGGTGTCAGTAGTTTGTTTGTACGCGCCCGCTTCGTGTTTATTATGCCCGTTGACGAGCTGGTGCTGGTATTAATACCGTTCGATGATGTAGTGATCGACAAAGGTAGATATAATAGCGAATGTGGTTAGTCTCCTGAGTTTGAGCGTTCGTATCAACGATGAAGCGAAGGTGGTTGAAAATGAAAATCCAGGGTATTAATAGAGGACTAAAACGAGAAAAACAAGAACAACAACGGTACGGGGAGTCTCAATGCTTTTTAACCCGTCATGAGATTCGCGCGTGTTCATCTCGCCCTAGCAAGTGGCTGGGCCTTAGAGCCCGCCCTCTTTTTTTCCCCTCCCACAGCGCCTCGTATTCCGCCAGCCCCAATAGGACAGGGGATGGAGTGTCGGCCGCAGCGACGACGCCCTGGTTAGGCTTGATTGTCTTGGTTGGACAGCGTGGACGGCCACGGCAACGGGAGTGGGTGGACGGGAGACGGCGTCTTACACGGACCAAGGAATCAATGGGAAGCGAGCAGGGGTCTAGACAAGTTGCCGTCGTCGATCTACGGTAGTTATTTTGGCTCCAGGAATAGCCTATTCGAAGTCGAGGCTATGATAGACTGTCTCACCATCCGGTTCGGGCAGCCAAGGCGCAGAATGTGTGGAACATCGATGTCTCTCAAGTTTACAACTGATGGCCCTGATCATGCCGGGCTACGTTGAGGACTAACAGCGTATACCTACCTACGGATGTCCATCCACTCGAGAATAAAGGAGGCACCTTCACATCACTCCTATCCCAGTCTCAGCAGGACTACCTCCGTACAGAGAAGAGCCTGCTCGCCTCTATATGTAGGTGCTCTCGGTACACCTACGTCGAGGGCGAGAACTCAACTGGTACCTGCATGACTCAAGTCTTCTGGATGATGGCCTGACCCCTTGCGAGAAACGGCACCGACAGACACACTACAAATAGATCTTGCGCCGGTCCTTGGCAGCCTGCACACGGTGCTACATCCAAGGGCACGTAATAGGGGTAGACGGGGTGAACTGATGGGTGATCCACCTAATGTGGCCCAGACGGAGCCGAACACGCTCCGAGGGTCCGAAAACCAAGCTGCGAGGATTGGATTTGCCCTCAGTCCTGTGTATGCGTTGCGCTAGAGCTGTAGGGATCCTACAGGGGATACGAGTGGTTGGCAATACCCGCGATGAGCCAAGCCATCTAAAAAAACCTTCTCCTGGACAGGTCAAGGAGTCGTTGCAGACTTCTTCACCTCTAGGTATTCGAAAAGACAGCAACATGAACAGTGCGGCTAACGTCTCCAACTAGAGCACGTATATACTAAATTTTTATTAAGAGATACCATACTGAAAGTAAGTAGGCAATACTAACTATTTTGCTAATCGTCGCCTTCATATCAGGCACTAATAGTACAATGGCGCCAGGGCGCATCTGGCCCCCGAGTAGCAACACCAGGCGGGGGACCGAACAATTCGGACGCAGCTTTGGCCGGAGCTGAAGGAGCCAAACCGTGATAAGTATACTCGGATACGCTAATGGAGTTATATGTTGCTGTGTCGAGCCCGCTTGCGCGCACTTCCGGTCGCCGGGTGCATCTTCTCGTTGCGCTCTCGCTTGAGCTTCTCGTCCAGGACGCGAGCTGGAGAGAGGTTAGTATCGCGATCGCCTCGGTAGCGAGTCTCGAGCTCATCAGAGCGGGCAAACTTACTGAGAACATCGTAGCCGAATTGAGGGAATTCCAAGCACAGCGAGCGGAATTCCTCCTCCGCCTCGGCCCGCAGGGTGTGACTGCGCGTGGCCCAAAAATTGGCCACGGGGGCCCGAATAACCGTGTCGTCCTTACTGGTGAACTGGTAGACGTAGCGGGCGTAGGCGATCTCGCCCTTGGCCGTCGAGTTTACGCAGTGGATTTTGCTACTCGCAAGCCCTTTAAGCTTCTCCATCCCGAACTTCTCCGACAAGGTGTAGACGCGCGCATGCTTCAGGAGCTGTTCGCCGGTCTCGTCAACGGCAGGGATGGAGGGGTCTTGCTCTAGCAGCCGCTGGCCGGGAAGCTTTCGGGGGAAGTAGTCGCCGGTGTAGAGGTATTCCAGGAAGCAACCCACGGCATCGATCTCCTCAGACGGGAGTTCAACTTGCCGCGGCTAGAAAAAAGCAAGAGTTAGCAGAGGGCGGCGACCTGTCGGGGGGCACGTAGGGTACCGTACACTCCCGTCGTCTGTGAAGGCGGCGCAGGCGTCGGAGAAAAACGGGCTCTGGGTAAGAAGCGCCTGGTGGGCAGTGAGAATGGTCTCGGAGTCGCCGGCGCCGACGAGGATAGTAACGACCGGGCTGGTCAGATAACTAATGAAGCTGAGGCGCGGCTCGCTATCGCCACCTTCGGGAAAGGGGAGCTCTTCAGCATTATCAGCAGCGGCGGCGGCGGCGGCGGCGGCCTCAGCCTCGTCCCCCTCGACCATCTCGACATCGGCGGCTGGGTTGAAGGCCGGCTCCTCGTGCGCCCTCTCGTCGGACCGGTCCGCCATTGTTGCGCCTAGATATCTCTTCTCCTCAGCTTCTCGCTAGGTGAAACAATTGGCTGGATGACGTCGCAAAGCAGGTAGGATATAAGGCCAGCTAGAAATCTAGCAATGGCAACAGCAGTGGAACGGGGTCGATTTCCCAGACAACGAGCGACGGAACGAGAGACCGACAATACTGAATTGTCACGCGACGGGTCGGTCGGGCTCGCGAACCAGAGGCGATCGCAAACTGGCGTCGCAGGCTGCGTGCACGCGGGGTGGATAAACGGACGATGTGTGGCAATAGGTGATGTGTGGTAAATGGTGACGAGGGCGGTACAAAAACGGGCGACGAAGTTGTTGTTACAGGTTGCCCGGACAAAAAAAGTAGGAGGTTGGGCCGCGCGTTGATTGGTCCGGCTCGGACTGATTGTGGCTGCAAGGAGTCCTTCCCAGCTGCACCTGTAGCTGCGCCTGTAGCTGCGCCTGTGGCGTCGCGGCTATATAGGCATCTAGCTACCCCGGACACCGTAGCTAGCGACAGCTATAGCGAGCGACGAGCTACAGCTAGCGGTAAGCTATAGGTAGTGGCAAGCTATGGCTAGCTACCTTATGTAGGGGACCGCAGTCCCCTTAGTTCCCGACTGGACCTCGACGCGTTCTTGCATTGGCCAATCGACGCGGATTTTCGGCATGGCGACGGCTTGTGTCCCTCCGGAGGCGCCTCCACCTCGTGGCGTTCTATCCCACCACCTATCTACCTTAGGTCCCCAGGGCGCCTGGAGTTAGCGGCCACCCACGAACGACCCCAGCCCCCTTAGCTATCCCAGGCCATCCGGTCGAGTACTTTACGTGCCGAGCGCCTCGTGTCGGGTTGCTCCCAGATGATATGTCCGACTTCCAGGGTATAGATCGATATCGATAAGATAACGGCGGGCCGTGCAGATCCCCTCTATCCCCCCTCTCTCGACAGTTCGTTGTCGTCGTCCAACTCTGTGTTACGCCTAATACACGGCATGGTAATGCATTCTGGTGGTGACAGTCAGCCCTCTAGATATGCATATTCCCCGCTGCCTCCATCGCGGCACAGGGTTGATTGAGAACATACGCGAAAAGAGATTGATAAAATCGCCGTGAAACCACACACAGAACCAACATTTTCCTACAGGTACGCTGCAAAAGGAAATAACCGTCAACAGACCCTGGGTCTCGGGTACACCCCCGCCTCGCCGCGTACCTCCGTCGTCAGCAAGTTCCGGTTCCTAACCTAGACTCCCCCCATTTTATTATATCCACCTCGGTATCCCAATGCGAGCTGTATGAACAGTTCCGCCCGATCAATCTTGTAACTACTAGGACCTACTTGTGAACCAACACATCGCAATACTTGCCTGTATTAGCGGCCGCCTAATTGGTAAAGAAAGACTCTACTTATATCCTTACATACCCAACAAATCTTATGTGCTGGCTGCCTCTTAGAAAGCAATCCCTTATAACATTGGTATAATATCCGTATCAATGTCGAGTATGCCAATTTCTGATTCCTCCATTCCGCACACGTAACCCACTACCTCCTCTAATTAAAATTCTTACTTTGGGACCTATTACTTTGTTACTCTGCTAAAAGCCTTATAAGCCTTTTATGTATCTACTGCTTCATTCTAGGGTTAACTCGTTTTGATAAATACTTTATACCCGAGTCGCTTGACCTTCTTTCCCCTCTCCTCCCTTTCCTTTCATTTCCATCCGGTTCGATCCTTCGTATTATAGTGTCACGTAGCAATTAAACTCGCTCTCATATGCCCACATACCGCAAAGCGTAAATGAAAGCGTCTGCGTTTTACGCGACATATAGCTAATAGCAAAATTACCGCATAGTAGCTTAGACGTATCACGCCGCGCCTGACGAAGTAAGGCAAGTAGCCCCTTTCAAGAATCTCCGGCTGCTAAGTTTAATGAGATAATAGAAATTTATAGAGATTAAAGCTTTAAAGGTCTTTCAATCCGTTTAGTAATGCTTTTAATCTTCGCCATAGTTAGGGGAAAGGGCAGGCTGGAGTTCCGTTACAAGGCGACTGCCTATACTAGTTGCGTTAGTTCTTCTATAGCGGGTAGCGACAGGCAGTAGCGACAGGCATAAGTGTATTATAATAAGGCCTGAACTCGATGCCTGGGTGTAGTTTATGCCTTGTTATTAAGCTAAGAACTCCTGTCCGGCTAATAGAGTTGCTGATCGCCGACGGCGACGGGTATCGCCTAGGTAAGGACCCAGCCTAGTAAGGTTCGCGACCGTTAAACAAGGTGGATAGCAACGTAGATAAGGGCCTAGGCAAAGCCCTTCCTTCGCTATGCTCGTTGACGCCTGCGCATTGCAAAGGAGTAGGCAAAGGCAGGCTTCAAGAATCAAACCTAGGCGGCCTTAGTCCTGGAAACGGAAAAGCTTATAACTTTATAAGATTGATGTCGGATATCCCTTCCTACTGGTAAGTACTGCTTTGCCTTTATCCTTTGCTATAGCTTCTTATCTGTAAACTTAAATATCCTCCTAAGACTCAACAATCTTCTTCATGGATCTCAAGCCTAGGACTAGCTTTCCCGGCGAACTACTCGTATATTCTCTTGGGGTTCATTATCCTCGGCTAAAGGTTCTTAACTATAAACTACTTACGTTCCCTAAAGACTCAAAAATGTGCTCTGTGGATCTTAAACTTAAGACTAGAGCGTTGCGCGTTGGCCGTATATCCCGATCTTGCCCTCTGGCGAGTTATAACTGCTTCATTAGCCTTCCTCCCGACCCGTATGTATATATTCTTGGGGTTTCTTGTAGACTCTACCATCATATTATCTGCCGTCTTGGTTTACTCCTCAATTTTCTCTGCATTCGAGTATTTTGGACGCTAGATATTGCTTCTAGTCTCCCACAGACAACGCAATGAAGCAAAATGCTATATACTCGGGTGGTTGTTTTGGGAGTTAGTGTTTGTAATCCATCAGGACTTCGTGGAGAGGGATATAGCCCAGGAACTCTTCGCTATGGGCGGGTAGGCATTTCGGGCTAGGCACCTGGGGGAGCTTCCCCTTCCTCTTGGACGGGCGTTGGCCTGGTCTTACTGCTCAGATGGCTTAGAGGAGTCAACTAGTCGCGAGCAAGAAGCCGTTGCCCTTCCGACGGCATTGGTACGCGGCGACGCGCTATTTGATTATAGACTATCACCAAAGTTCAAGTTAAACTATAATGTTTCTTATAGACTGGTTCCTCTTGCTGCCGGACCTGGAGCGTTTTTGCGACCGGTGCCGCAAGGCGGATCCACGTGGAAAATCTCGCGGCACGCCTCTGCCGCCCCCGAGGCACCCCGGTGCGGAAGCACCTGCCGCCTAGACCCTATTGTCAGCCCTAACCAGGTGCTTGAGCACCTTCACACTGTCATGGGCGCCAGCAACTTCGGCGCAAACGCTACTGGAGAGGGCCTGCGAGAGTCGGCCTGTACTAACTCTCCAATCGCGTCCGACTTGAGCGCTTATTGGACTCCCACTCTCTTCTTTCAGGACCCCCAACAACGGCACATTCAAACAGGTTGAGCTTTTCTACCAAAACGTCTATTACTTTTCTAAGGCAACTGACGATGAAATCGAGGCCTTCCCGGTCGGCCTGCAGATGGTTGGCGGGAATGCCAGTCTGCGAGTGCTCCTGTTGCGACTGGCGAACTAAACTTTGATCCGTCCCAGGGGGCTATTCAACCAACACAGATAACTTGCCCTCGAGGCAGTTTCAACCCTCCAAGCTGGCCTGTGGGGTCTATTCGGCACCACATACCAGCTCACAAGGCCCGGCCAGGTGCGGCCAACCCCTTTGTAGGGCTGACTGGGCTTTTTCACCGCGCCTTGTGCTTGTCGGCGAGTTTCACGAGGTTAAAAATCCCGAGACGGCCATATACTGCCGGTTGCAGGACTTGCGGACACACGCCGAGTTTCCTAGCCAGCCAAAGGTTATGTTCCTCAGCGCGACCCCGATATTATCTGTTTCCCTTCACAGCATCACCGCTCCTCTCCGAGCTATCATGCCCGAGGCATAGGACGCCCCGAATCATTCCCGCCACGAATACAGCCACAGCTATCTCGTCAAGCAACTAAAGACAGACTTCAGCCCATTGTTGAGACAAAAGGTTCGAGGATGCAGAGTCCTACGGCAATCGACCCTTGACTAGAGAGAACATACGACTTCTTCGTAGCTGTTTGGTTTACGACAGAGCTCGCCTGTCGATTGCCATCGTGAAGAGGTCACTGGCGGTTGTTGGGGGCATTACATATCGGCCGTTGAAGCGGCGCAAGTTCGCTGAGATTGCGTTCTGCACCATCTCGTCGGATCAGCTGACGTTATGCTGATAAACCTGTAAGTTCCTAGCCATGTATGGCAGGTCGCTTAGCAAGACAATTCCTGCTGAAGGACTCATGCAGTCCTCCGCTTGGGCCGCACTTGGGCATCTGGGCCCGACATTCTTTTGGCTGATTCCCCTGCCACGATGAGGTCCCTGTCCTCCAGGAGCTTCCTGGCTTCGACAGCCTCGGTGAGATAAGTCGCCACAGGCCCATAAGCCTTCTCTCTTTCCTAGCGCAATGCGCCCGGGAATGCGTGATCGTTCAACGTAGCATCTGCACCTAACTGGGGATGCCCAGCTTTTGGCCCGCTCCCATCACCAGCTGTACCTAGCTAGGGCCCCTCTAGCCTCCATAGTAGGGCATGCCTTTGGAGCTTCCTGACGGGGCATGCCGATCTAGGCAGGTGGGTTTCTTGCAAGCCCCTGGTGGGCACTCCCGACATCGCATCCCGCTGGATGGGGACGATACTGGACCGTGGAGACTGTCTAATTCAATCTACTGTACCATGGAGACTTTCTAACTCGATCTTACCAATCAGTAGATCTGCTCCCCTGATCTGCCGTGTAAATACCGGCCCCCACCGCCCCCGGCTTGGCTTGCGTAAAGTCGCAGAAGGAGGATATCCTCCGCCGCGTCCGGTGCATACTACGTAGCGGCAACGTCTCTCTTCCCCCGCCCCCGGCCACTTTAAAAGACGCAGTAAGCACTGCTAGCCCGGGAGGAGGGGTTCCTAAAGCATCTGCCTAAGTCATGAGTGCTACGTTCCATGCCAACCTCCGTCTGGCCAACCCAGGTGAAAGCGACCTTATATGCGCGCCGGGCGCCTAGTCGACCTTAGTCCCGGCGCTGGAAACGGCTAACCGCAGTTTCTATACCCTTCGATGGTCCTCTCCGCGGGCCATTTCCTTAGTGTAGGCAGTCCTAAGACTCGTAACTCTTGAACCCGGTTCCGTGTTGTATCGCGTCTACTTGACGGTAGCTACCCTGGGCATGATTCACAACGGCTTGACTTCCCTTTCTTTCTATAATACAGCAGATAAAGCTGCCATCGTACGATAAGGTGTCTCCTCTTGGACGCGTCCGACCCGACACGGGCCGGGGGACTACAACGCCATGGGTCGCCGGCGCTCGTGCCTGCCGAGAGTCCACAATGGGGGAGGGGGATAAATATCGGCTTCTCCTCCTTGCCGAAGCGCATGAGAAGGGCCTCGGGGTTAAGGATCGCGGTAGTGCTCTGCTTCCCTTGCCATTGCCTCGTGACGCTAGTCCATTTGTCCGTAGCTGGAGCAAAACCTCGGGTCACGGCCTAGCACAGCACCATGGCGGCGAAACTGCTCTTGTCCTTCGCTATATCGTTAGCCTTGGCCGGAACGGGCCAGAGCGCGGCGCCACCGGCCGACGAACCCGCTCTCGCCGCGGCATCACGCCCTCCCAGCCGGTATATCGTCCTGTTCGAAGAAGGAGCCGTTTCCAACTTCCGGAAAAGAGACGGCACAATCGTAACGTCCCCAAGCTGAGGGCTCTACGCTGGCCACTGCTAACTATCTTCAGGATGCGGAAGGCTTTGCGACGGTTCTTTCTGAGCATGTCGACGAGACGGCCAAGCCAGCGCTTACATTCGACTCCCGCCTATTCCATGGTGTTTCGATCGATGTGCATGAGGCCAACTCGACCTCGGTAGAGAAGATCGAAGCCATCCCGGGCGTTGCCAAGGTTTGGCCCGCGGGGCTGTTCACGATCCCATCTGCTCCCGAAGCCGTGGTGAGCGGGCCCGAGCAAGCCACTTGGTCGCCACACAACGCGACGAGGGTGAACCAAGTTCACCAGAAGGGGTACAAAGGCGACGGCGTCGTCGTGGCCATCGTCGACAGCGGTGTCGACTACACCCACCCCGCCCTCGGCGGAGGCTTTGGCCCCGGCTTCAAGTTTGAAGGCGGTTACGACTTGGTCGGCGACGACTACTCCGCAGGAGGGGAGACCAACCCGGACTCGGACCCGATGGACTGCCACGGCCACGGCACCCACGTCTCCGGTATCGTAGGAAGCAGTAATGAGTGGAACCCTGGCGTGGCGCCGAACGCACGCCTCCGCATGTACAAGGTCTTCGGCTGCGGTGATGGTACCACCGAGGACATTGTCATCGCCGGCTTCCTGAGGGCCTTCGACGACGGTGCCGATGTGATAACTGCTTCCCTGGGCTCGGTGCTCGGCTTTCCTTACATCGCGTCGTCCGTTGTGGTGTCGAGAATACAAGCCGCCGGCGTGGTTGTCACTGCCGCGGCCGGGAATAGTGGCAGTTCAGGTATGTTGCGGTCTCCACTCCCAAGCTTTTCTTCCGGGAGGCTGGCCAGCATTCATCTACATGCCTGCTCCAGCGTCCGTCTTTCCACAATCGACACTAACCATTTTATAGGGCCATATTACACCAGCAACTTGGGAAATGGATTCGGCACCACCACGGTCGGAAGTGTCGAGCAGAACGACCGTGTCGGATGGACGGTGAAGGCGCGCTCGGCTAACGGCACCACGCGTGATATTGTATGACACTCTCCACAAAGCCGGCCTGAATGATATATTATACCGATTTACTTACTGACATGGACGATGTAGCTGTACCTTGAAGCTGAGGGGCGACCATTCAATCTCACCGGCGACCACAACGCGACCTTCTACCCCGATCCTCGAACTCGTGACGTCTGTAACATTAGGGAACGCCAGCCGAGAGTCCCCAAGACCAATGTTTTGGTCCAAAGGTGCATTCATGCGCAACCCAGCACTCCCTCTGCCCCCACCATTGAAAGGAAGACTCTGCTAACGCTGCGCTTCGCAGAATGGGTGACTGCAGCTGGGCAGAAATGGATTTGACGCTTTGGGATAGAGTTGACTGGGTGTTCTTCTATGCCAAGGAGGGCCAAGGGCTGCCGGCCCCGAGTCGCTTTATCCAACAAGCGGACGCTCAGGCCAAAGGGTGTAAGTGGATGTTATTGCAACTGACCTTCATTTGCGGCAACGGCTGAACCAACGATTTATAGTGGCCACAATCTCGTACGAGGATGGCGCGTGGCTTCTCGACCACTACGACCGTAATATCACCGTTACCTTCGAATTTGAGGAGTCGCCTAGGCCGGTCTCTGTTCGTTGGTCTGACGCCTTTGGGGTGAGGGCAAGCGCCTTCACCTCCTGGGGTCCGACTCTGGATGGTAGGATGAAGCCAGAAATCGCTGGCCCAGGTAAGCGGCCTAGGCTATCTCTACTCTGCAAATATGCTGAAACAGGATATAATTAGGAGCAAACATTTTGTCCACATATCCAGTAAGCGCCGGGAGGTGGGCTGTGTTCTCGGGAACCAGCATGGCGACTCCATACGTACGCATCCAACTCCCCCGCCAAACTGACTATATTTACTCACAGTAGAGAAGATCGCTGGCGTCGCTGCCCTCATCCTCGGTTCCAGAGGAGGCCGTGCGGGATGGGGCCCTGATGCAGCACGGTTGACACATGAGAGGCTCATCGCCAGCGGCCAGCCTGTCTCCATGAACAATGAGAACACAACTTGGACGTAAGTGTTAAAGGCAGGACTCGAGTGATGTCTATCAAAGAAAGGGGGGGGAGGGGGGGGAGAAGAAACGAGTGTGCTGACATCTAGTACTACAGCCCCGTCGCTAGGATCGGTGCCGGTGTTGTTGATGCCGTCAGGGCGGTCGAGTACGACACATTTGTGTCGCCGGCCAACATCAACCTCAACGATACCCAGAACTTCCGTGGCGTTCACACAATCCAGCTGACAAACATAGGATTGGAAGCTGTCACATATAACCTCAGCCATCAGCCTCTGAATGGGTTCCAGGCGATCTCTGTGACGGACAGGGCCGTGGCCCCAAACCCGGACATCGCTGGGTACTTTGCCTCGGTGAAGTTGTCAGCCGAATCCGTCACAGCGGGACCAGGAGAGACAGTGGAGATAACAGCTACGTTCACAGAGCCAGACAGTGGCGTTTTCGACCTCATGCCAGTGTACGGTGGCAACATCCACTTTGTTGGCTCCAACGGAGAAGACGTCCGAGTAACCTACATGGGTACGTACGCCGATTATCGGGCGGCGCGATGCTGCTGCTAACATTTTCTGTCCTCAAAACAGGAATCAAGGGTTCTCTTTACGCACAGGGATCATGGGCCCTGCTGCCGTCATTCTTGAGGAATAAGGTAGGGGGGAGCCTCGAACCCCTCGCTGATGGGGAGGAGTACGTCGTTGGCCCGTTGGAAGCTCAGCCTGTAGGGCGTTACGTCAACGCCTGGGCAAGTGAGGAGCAGAGCTTCGACGTGAGTAACTAACCCCTGCCGGCGTGGTGCAACCCACCGCGAACTTGCTTCACTGACACCGTATCTACTCGATCTATTAATAGTACGTGGCCACCGACTGGACGCCCGAGGACTGGACCTACCCCCCGGTCCCGGGCCAGAACAAGTGGTTTGGGTCCATAACCAGCCGCGAGAGGGTTTATCCCGCCCTGTACCAGCCGCGGATTCCCGGCGGCGTATTTCAAGCCTTCGGCTCGCAAAACTTCAGCCAGGGCCACCCTGTGGCGCCTGGGGACTATCGGATCCTGGCACGGTCGCTTAGGACACTCGGCAACCGCGGCAATATCAGTGACTGGCAATTGACTTTGTCTCCGTGGTTCCGCCTCAAGCCGATGGACCCGCCCAGCACCACCATCACCACCACGACAACCGCTACCTCTACCTCCTCTACTACCTCTACCCCCCCCACGCCTCTGCCGCCTATTGCGGTATGCGGGGAGTCAGTTCCGGTTAACATAACTGCTCGCCTCAGTACGGAGGAGACTCGCTATGGCCTCTTGAGGCTGTCCGACATGCTCGGCTACGACCGCCGGGGCGACGGGACGCATTTCGAGTGGGCTCTGACTAACGAGGGCTACCTCAAGACCCGCGACACGGCCTCGGGCAACCCGCAGGATCTCTGGGCGTCGGTCCACACCAACAACAACAGCCTAATCTACATGTATCCGAGGAGCCGCATCACGGGAAGTTGGTCGTATGTCAACTGCCAGCGCGTAGACACCGAGCTGCATTGCACGTCGAACGAAAAGACCAGCTTCTACGACTGCTTGGACCCCGAAGACGGTAATTACTACGTCTACCTCCGCCACGGGCCCGTAGTACCCAGCGGCTGCCGGCAGGTGGTATTTAACTTTGAGGCATTGCCGCAGGCCTGCACCACGCCGACCGCCAGCTCACCCGCGACGCTTAGCGCAACGCCAACCTTGAGTGTGATGTCTTGAGAGCAGAGGCCGCGGGGGGAAATCGTTTATATATAAATACATATAAAAAAGGGTGGTCCGTGAAGGGGTAGCTCGTGGAGGGGTACGTTAGCTTACATCTGTTTCTTTGCGAACAGCCCGATCTAGAGCTTGGTCGACAGGCGCCTCTCTTTCAGCTGACTGACTCGAGGCCTAAACTCGTAGCGGGAAAGTTCCTTGTTGGAGAGCCTCGTTAGTGTTAAAGTACAAATACCTATAGTGGAAATTGTCAATTGTAGATGATCAGGACCTTTGCCGTGGCTTAAAGCCCGACCGAGGTGAGGGAGAGGATTGACACTGGACGGGCGGCACGCGTTTTGACAGGTCTAGATCGAGTGTTGCACTCGCATCAAGTAGCAGCGCTCGCTCCCTTTGCCAACACTGACCGATAACGGCCGCGTCTATCTACGATACGTACAGACAGGAAACACAGGTCACCATAGTCAAGCTGCTCCATCCGACGTCGATCAGCTCCGATATCGAGAACCTCAAGGGCTTCCCGGTCCCGATCGACCCCCCTACGACGTCAACGTCCCGATCCCCGAGGACTTGCTCGATGCCGACATCACCGTATGAAAAACCTCTGGTGGGTCTAGGCCCTGGCTGCCAGCTTCGACCTGCCGTGCGCGGTCGTCAGCAGCCGGCCCGGGCTGCACGACGGCACGGTCGCCGAGCACACGCTCGCGCTGCTGCTGACGGGCGCGCGCCGCCTCCACGAAACGCGTGACCATTAGCTGCGGGTTACCTCGGCGGCGCGCACCTGGCCGGCGCCTTCACCGCGCTGTGCGGCGTGCGCCACGGCGTCGAGGTTCTTGCCGAGGGCCGCCCGCCCGAGCTGTTTTCACAGACCGACGCGCTGGTCATGGTCCTGCCGGGCAGCGCGTCCACGCGGAACGCGCGCAATACCGAGCGCCTGCACCTGCTGCCCCCACACGCCTGATTGTGAACGTCGGCTACGGCGTCACCGTCGACGAAGCTGCGTTGGTCGACGCTCTCGAGCGCAACGGGCTCGGCGGCGTCGTCCTGCACGTCTTCAACATCGAACCCCTACCGCCTTCCAGCCGCTCATGGGAGGTGCCGATCGTCATCTCGCCGCACGCCGCTGGGGGGCCGCCCCGAGGGCGGCACCGATTGCATTGCCGAGAACCTGCGGCTTGTCCTAGCCGGCTGGCTGCTGAAGCATGTAATCTAGACGGAATAAGAGGGCGGGTCGATCGCGATGATAGACTGGAGAGGATGTGCTGCGACTGGTTCCTGCTTGAGGCGGCTGGATGTCTCTAGGAAGAGGAAGGCGGGTGTGGTGAAGATGGTGCCGATAGAGAGGGGACTCGCTGAGAGTCAGGTTCGCTCCCGTACCTCCCGTGATAATAGCAATACGAGAATCTATCCTATATCTTTCAAGATTTCACTGTGTACACCGGGATTCTTTGCCTACCTGTAGGTATGTTGGATGCAGTCCTTCGGCTCTCGTCGGATTGTTCGTGGGGTTCTGCTATTCTCATCCTGGTACGGGCAGACATCCGGAATTGAGGCCCAAGGCTGCCCCCCATCTCAAAATCGGGCTCTTTTTTCCGTCACGGCCGACATCATACTGTTTACGTGCGTATGCGAAGCTCACGCGACGGTCGGTGCATGTCGGTAGATGGAGGATACGAGTATCGAATGCGCAAATGTCCTAGACATGCTCGCGAGTCCGACATAGAGATGCGCATAGATAAATGGCAGGTTGGAGTCATGGGCCAAGTTCGTCTCGACTCCCTCTCTTCTTTCCTCGCTTTCAACCGTACGTTTTCGCATTCTATGTCTTGGTGCTCGCTTTAAGGCGATCCGATACGTTCCAGATACGTGTGCTCGACTTCGCCTATCCATTAGACTCGAGAAGGCAACTAGATACCTTCGCCCGACAGCTATATCAACATACCAACACTTCGTTGGTGGTTGATGCGAGAGGCGGAAGATGGGGGGTTGCAGATTTGGCCATTTGGTCCGTCGGCCAGTACGAACCACTAGCGGAATTGGCAGACAGCTAGTCGAGAAAACCACTCCGAAAACGCGATATAATGCCGACAAAAAAGAGTCCGCTTCGGAGGCTATGTTAGGATGTTTCGGGAGGTCGAAATGAACGGGGTCTGCGTTGCGACAACTTCTTGGTACATGACTTTTATCGTGCGATGATCACTCCATCGCGCAAATAAAGGTGACGGTGGAACCGTAGCGAGGTCGGGCAGCAACACTTGGCGAGATTGCGATGAACCAGAGAGCTCGCGACAGGTAGAAAAAGAAACCGCCAGCCAGGTTTTGGTAGTAGGTCGCATGCATGCCAACCGGGATACCGTACATACAGGCCGGGATCATTCCTAAGTCGCAAGGGCTCCATTCCGAATGCTGTGCGATCGAGAATCGGGAATCGGGATGTCGTCGGGTCGAGTTGACGTGATATATGGTTATATCGAAGCTGCTGCAGGGAGAGAGAAAGGGCAGGCCTTGTTATTGTTTTGGCTGTGACAAGTCGCTGCCGCAGATGAAGGTCTTTCAATCATATATATAAAGATACACAGACACATATCATCGAAATCATTGCATGGGAATCCCGTACGAGCTGAACGGCGCGCACCGGCCTTGTCGAGCATGCGCCCAGAATAGCTAGGCAACTGTTTAGGCCCTTAGCAAGTGTATGTCTGTGTCATTTCGCGTGTGGTAGTAGGTTGTGTTAGTCTTTCTCTCCCCGGGCTAACTAACGACTACTTAGCATCGTATATTCTAGTTTCGTTCTGGATGTCTTCTAGTGTTTTTTTCTTCCAAGTCTGTTATTGCGTTCTCTTTCATTTCAACTGCCCTGGTCCTGGCGGCGATGGAGGGGCGGTGGTCATCAACAGTCTACAGGCATGTAGATACCTATATACCTCACGTGCAAGGCAACGAGCTGCCCGTCAGACCATCGTCGGTTGAGCCAGTTTGGTCTCCACTAACTGGCCGAATCATCAGGTTAGCACACCCTTAGCTCTTCATGCTTCCAATTCAGGGGAAAATGAACTCTTAAGGGGTTCGGACGCATCAATCGTCTCTAGGTCTACTACGTAGTGTGAATACTACGATACTTAGGCCCCCATCATCGCGGATAGGTTCACCTTCCCTTCTCATGTGCGCTATGAGCTGTTGGGGGAGTGGAGGAAGAAAATTCACTACGACGACTAGCATCGAGATCGCACTTGTTTTGGACCTCCCGGCTTGCCGCTTCTAGTCGGTGAAGCTCGCACGGCCTGGGCCGACTCTAAGGCCCGAGGCGGGAATAACTCCCTCGAGTCGGTCTACTGCAGGCACCGTACCATCGCCGTCTGCGCGTCCTGTCGCGGGGGTCCGGGGGTCCTGCCCCCCGAATTTTGTCGTTAGACTCAGGTTAGACCGAAGCTCGTCGTGGGACACACCAGCGTTTAGGGCAGCTCCTCGTCCCCGTTCTCGTGCTGCGCCTTAAAGGGGGGACGCGATGCTTAGCGAATGCCGCATCCTGGCTTTGGTCGGCGATCAGTATGTGCGAGAGGGGACAGAGAACACTCTATATTGCGTGTCACTTACGTCCCAATGCAACCCCAGCCGTCTAGAACGCTTCGCCTGTTTCTCCCCACGTCCCACACGCGACCCATCTACATGTGTGTGTGTCTGCGCTATCGTCCGCACCCACATTTCAATCTCGACGGGACCATGGAACCGAGGGAACTTGGGCTCGGTAACCAATGGTCACCCCAGTAAGGAGAAGCTCGAACTCGAAACGGAAAGTGGAGAGTCGGGTCCAAGCCGAGGATAAGACGGTAAAAGGCGAGCACATGCCACGCCTGCGTATTGAGTACACATGCCATCGTGGATAGAGGAGAGTTAGAGACCTACCCCAATATACACGTAGGGTATACGCACCTTGAGCCCTGCTACTGTCCACCTACGTAGCACTCCTAAATTCACTATGCGCATCTTCCCCTTGCTTAGCGTGATAGAGAACTCTCTACTACCTGCCTGCACTCCATATAGGTAGGTACATATGCCGGGCATCAACCAAGACTAGGCAGGCAAAACGGAGGTCAGGTACTGAATCATCTAAGCCGGTGGGCGGCATATCGTATACTGTGTGGTAGCTATGCTTACTACCTTACCTAGGACTATGCATACTACGCGGTAGGGATGTGAGACTCACTAATCTCCTTCCAGTCAAGCTTACCATCATCGAATGTCAAGCAGGGAACTGATACGGTGACCCCGTACACTGTAGCTCCCCCACAGCTGGGAAAATTATGGTGATGGCCGTATTGGCCTGGATTCAATTCGCTCGAGACTGGTGTTGGGACGGCGCTTTGATCGTATTGTTATTTCACCTTTACACGCTCTTTTCGCCCTCTGCATCTCGAGTTCTGAAATTGGGTCCTTGTTATGGGTTCAGACCCGGCCTGTGCCGGAATGGCCCTGGAGCTTTGGACAGCACCTTCACCCACACACCGGGCGCGGGCACGGTGGAGCCTCATGATGACACCTTTTTTTATGAGGAGCGCAAAGGGGCTCGATGCACCTGGTACCTGGATCGGCTTCGACGGGGCCCGGTGGCATTTCGGAGGCTATCTGCCAGGGGCAATGCCTCCGGCAGCCATACCGGCCCACCTAGGTAGACAGACATCGTAGATAAGTATAATGTGTAGACCGCCCCTTACTCAGAATGAGGTAGCAATGCGAGGCGAAGGTATACGTGCATGGTGCATTGTGCATAGTGAAACCACTACTCTTAAACTGTCTACAGATAGCTAGCTTGATTGGTTGTTCGGAAAGTGATGCCCTCCGGGGCTCATCGTAGGGACAATGTCTCTCACGAGAAGGTGGGCCGGTATACCTATGTGCACACATAGGCATGTATGAAATACGTCTTCACAAATGGATAGATCTCACTTTGGATCCACCTCATCTTGACATGTATTCATACATAGAGGGACGCGATGGATAATAGGGACTGCCTCTCTACCAGAACCAAATACATACACTTACCTACCTATCAACATAGGGGACTATGCTACGTAGTCTGCGCAACGCGGGACGTTGATGCTTGTGAGCAACGTGCTCGCGGGGAAGAAGCGCATCGAGGGGCAAGAGAGAGAGAAAGAATTGGAAGCGTTATGCATTCTGTCAGCTTATACGCCTCTGGACATCCTATTACAATTGGGATTACCTATTACGTGGCCAGTCTATGTATGTACCCATGCCCAGATTCCCGCCGGGGACAAGGGGTTCGAAAATTATACCGTACAACCTGTCGAATCAACTCTTGACCACCTCGTCGTCCGGGTTAGGTAGGTAGTTCAACCATGGGCCCTCGTTCATGTAGTTGACGAAGGTGTTGGCCTTCGTCTTGTCGCTGACCCAGGGCGATAGGACGCGCAGGAATCGTAACCACCAGAACTCCATCGCCTCGTAGCGGGTGACGTAGCCGGACATGGACACGACCGTGTGGGCGTGCGGCCGATGTTTCTTCTCGTATAGGTCGAGCACGGCGACGATCTCGTCCTTGCTCGGCTTCCTCCCGCCGTCCGCGTCGCACTGTCGCACCAGGGGCACCAGCTCGTTGATGAGGTGCACCACGCCCTCCACTGCCAAGTTGGCCCCCAGGCCTGGGTTCACGGTGGCCTTGTGCACCGCGTCTCCCATAAGTACCACCCTGCCGCCCGTATTCCACCTGGGCTTGAGCACACCTTCCTCGAGCGGCAGCATCGCGGCTTTGACTCGGCTGTCCCACAGGTCCTTGAAGGTGTAGCCAGGGCCGACGGCGTGGTGGCCGTACTTGGCGATTACCGCCTCAGTCTGCTCCTCGGTGAAGCGTGGCGTGTTGGGCGTCGTGGTCACCTTGCCGCTCTTGACGAACAGGAACCAGAAGACGAGGCCGCTGACGCCGGCGGCGACAACACCAGAAAAGCCGTAGTAATAGACGTTGTGCACCGTGCCGTCAGGGAGGAATGGCTTGCCCCCGGCGCTCGGATTGGCGTTTCTCGACGTCGCAAAGAGGCATTGGTAAGTGCTGACGAAACCAGACCGCATCTCTTCCGACGCTGCAGGGTCAGCATCGGCGATCTTCTGCGCGATGAGACCCCGCACAGTGCTGCGGATGCCGTCGGAGCCAATGAAGAGATCGCCCTTGATGACCTCGCCGCTGTCCGTCGTTACTTCGACGCCATCGTCTGTCTCTGTGTACGAAGCCACGCCGGTCTGAGCGCGAACTCGGGACTTGTCCTGGATCTGGTTGTAGATGCAGCTTAACAAGAACCTACGCTCCATAAACGTGGTGCTCCGGTTGCGCATCCTAGCATCGGCATTAGTTATCTCCTCACCAGGATTGGCGATGCCGCCGGGGGGGAGCTTGCCGCCCTACTCACATCTTGGAAATCTCCTGTAATATCGCCGACTCCTCAAACAGGTCCCCATTTTGGTTGTAGTGATGTCGGGTGTGGAGCGGGACGGTGCCGGCCCTTATCTCGGGCCACACTCCGAGCTGCTCTAGCACCCTCTGGACGTGCGGGTGGACAGAGACGGATGCGCCCATGTGCGGAGCGATCTCTCGCTTCTCGAGGACGACGAAGTCGATGCCGGCCTTCTCCAGAGCTAGCGCGTTGGTCAAGCCAACTATGCTGCCACCGGCGATGATCACCTTAAACGGCCCGCGGGAGCCGGCCATGGTACTAGCGGGTAGGAGTCTGGGTGTAAATCTACTTCGTAAGCGTATCGGGCTCGTCTAAAGGTAGCGTATCACTCAAAGTTCGAGAAGGTTTATAGTGCATGCTCCAGCAATGAAAACCACGTGGCAGAGGTGAGGATATTCAAGCACATCTCCAGTACAGGGCATGGTTCATCTTTATACCCCCGTTAAACCGCCGGAATCCAGAGGCTCGAGACCCCCCACCTGGGCAGGCCGAAATGGGCTCGCAGACCATGCCATGGGCCTTATCGAGTGTTCTACCCTCCTCGGAAACACACCCCTGGAGCACAAGTGCGCCTCCTTCATGGGTGGTTACAGAAGAAGAATAGCTGGATGCTGTACAATGCAGTTAGCTCGCCCATGCTACGCAGCACTGAGCGGTAGCGGTGCCCCGTAGCCACATCGGCGCACTCCGGGTCGAATAGGAGGAGGCTGACGAGATGAGGTTTTAAAAGGTCTGAATTGCACAAACGACCAACTGCATGCGAACTGCACAAGCTGTCTGCATGAGACGATAAAGGCCCCCAAATCTGCACCACGAGGCAACGAATCCCGAAGCTGGGGGATGACAGGATGGAGCCAAGCACCTGTGTGTGTGCGTGTGTGTGTGTGTGTGCCATCCACCCACCTTGCTCCATACATACCACATGGCAGCTTATCTACGTACGCAGCAATACCTACACGTACATACAGATGTTTACTTGCACTGCAGCGTGGATATTACTTGGCACCCCCGCCGCGCTCTCCCGCCCCTTCTTCTCCTATACCAAGGCCCGAGCGGCACGGGCGCATAGATACAAGCCCGTATTGTGATAGACATACAGGCTGGTTTCTCTAGGTATGTGCAATCATAGCGTCGAGCGATAGTGGTCTGGCGGGCTACATCAACTCGCTACCTACGTAGCGGGTTAATTAACGGGAGCTGCGGGAATGCCCGTAGGGCGTTTTTGCCTCTCTAGCTCTCTAGCTCTCTGCGTACTACGTACTACATGGCATGCATTTCATAATCTCACTAGAGCTATATCGAAGAGGATTATTATATCTATATCTATATCTATATATATCTATATTATAGATAGATATATATATATATATGCAGACATATTATGTAACGCAAGTGTTTCCCTACCCCCTACGCCTGTCTCAACCATCGAGGACGCTAGACTGTTGGGGTCCGGCCCCTTGAAATGGCTCCCGTACAGTATGTGCCCATACCTGTGGACTTCACAAGCAATGCCGCGAAATTTAGCGATCCTTAGTGATTGGCAGACTGGAAATCCGGAGGTTGTGATCTGGATCCTGGCCGCATCGCCCAGTGGACCCCGACGACGGAACTTTTTAGATCACTTGGAGGCTCTGGGCAATGCCGGCCCAGTGGGTATTAATTCCCCGGCCAATTATATTCGACACCAGAGGGTGTCTTGTGCCGTTGCCTAGAGCCACTCCCTGATCGAGGAGCCGGAAAGGAAATGAACGGCATTTATTACTAAATCCACTGTATTCCGGGGGGGACTGGGGGGGCCGTTTGAAGATTTTTTTCCCTCTCAACCATGTCTCTCGTATGATACTCCTATCCTATCCTAGGGTAAGACCATGTAAGGTCGCCCTCGAGGTTCGTGAGCTCGGTGTATAATAAACAATGCTGCCCTTCCACTGGACTAGATCCCCGAGACAGGTTGGTATAGTCTAGTAGTCACTTCGAACACTCAACATCTTTTCGAAAATGGCGACTCCTCTACCGGTAGTTCTAGGCGATGACGAGCTAACTGAGATTGCGGTCTCCTACGGCACCATCATTGCGACGGGTCTGCTCGCGATTTTGGTCTGCGGGACTAGGGTGAGTGGAAAATGCCAGGACCGCCCGACTCAGCTGAACACTAACGTATGATATCGCTCTAGCTCTGCGTCCGCCAGTTTATGATCAGGACCTTCGGTATTGATGACTGGGCATGCCTGGTCGGATTGGTGAGTCTCTTGGGCGCTTGGTCCTAGCCTCCGAGCTGGGTGAACCGGGTGTGGGCATGTCTTCGCTAACGGCATCGTCGCCAGCTCTTCGTCACCACTTTCAACGGCATCGGCATAGCCGTAGTATACTACGGAGCTGGCAAACACATAGGAAATGTCTCCATGGAACACCTTGAAAAGTGGTTCATGGTAAGACCCTCTCCCTCCAAGCAATGTTGGCGAATGCTAACCACTCCACCACCAGCTCTACTACGTTTGTATATGCATGTACCTGTCAATCTCCTTCGCAGTCAAGTCGAGCATTCTTTTCTTCTTGCGCCGGATATTTCCGTCTCGTAAGTCACCTGTGACGGCATTCCCGACACCGGAGAGCACTGTGTTAATCCTTGTTTTCCAGCGTACATCCAACATTGCACGATGGGCTTGCTCATCTTTCTTACGCTCTTTACCATCTCGGGGTCCTTTCTCGCCGCTTTCCAGTGCAACCCGCCCAAGTATGCGTACGACCTCAAGTTTCTCTTCTCGCCGGAGCGAGCAGAGCATTGCTTCTCTTCCGATGTATCTTACGTGATCTTCATGTACCAGGCGGTGGTCATCTTCTGCTGCGACATCTTCATGTTCATTCTGCCTTTCCCGGCGTTGATCAAGTTGAACCTCAGCCAAGCCAAGAGCTTTGCTCTCTTAGCGGTCTTCGGGAGCGGTGTGGTTGCGTGCGTTGCGCCGGCCATCAGGTTCAAGAGCTTGCAGTTTTACAAGACGGGAAGCACCGATGTGACTTGTGAGTATATTACCCTCACCGTTTCCCCTCGAATGCCGAGACTCTCCTCGAGTGCGGGTCCGCTAACAGGGTATCTCATCCATCAGTCGAGGGCGCGTCGTCGCTGTATTGGATGGCCATCGAATACAACATGGGCCTGGTCGCCGGCTCTCTTCCAGGCCTCCGACCTCTGTTCGCCAAGTTTGGTCTCCTCGGCTCCAGTGTTGAGGCGTCGGGCAACAAATATACGCCGAACGACAATTTCTCGCCCTCGTACCAGCTCGAGGACCAAAGCAACAAGAATTGGTCGAACCGTCGGAAGAATGGTAGCAAGAATAGATACCAGGGAGAGAGTGTGCTGGACGCCACGGTTGTAGAACGACGAAACTCACTAGAGAGTGACGAGGAACGGATCGTGAAGACGCAAGTCTTCACGGTGACAGAAGAAACCCGAGACCCAGAGTCTCAACGCATGTCGCACGCCTGGGAAACCCCAGCTCCTAACGCGAAGTACTGAAATTACATGTTGTTATACACTTGTATGCGCGCATGCACAATATTACTACTTGGCGGCTGGGCCGGACCAGCTGGCACCATCCTTGACACATTTGCACACGTCCCCTGGGCTTAATGTTGATCTCGCAGATTGTACATACACTCTTTAGATTTCCTCCCTTTTCCGGCGACTGGAAGCCCATCGCTTGGCCTCGGGTTCGACGTCGCTATACAATAAAGAGGCTGGGGAGGCCTCGACTCTTCACATATGCAGGGTAGACGACTCTGGAGCCTCTCCGTTTCATGTGGCCAAGACCAACCGCATGGAGCACGTGTGATCTGTGAAATCCCTTAACAAAATCCTATGCGAAGCACGGATGGGGAAGCTCACCAAAGACCCGGGCGGATGCGGCTCGGTCTAAGAAGCCTTTTAAAGCCACTCGGAAACAATTTGGACGCCACCGGTATTTATCCGAATATAGAAGACTGACGTTTTTCTGCAAGTTTATATACCCGTCCTACCGTTTAGCTTCGTGGCGGTACTGTTATTCGCTGCTCCTTCGACCCGATAATAGGCCTCGAGAGCTCCTGCGGTTGAAAGCCAGCAGTGAGTCCGGGGTGATGCTTTGCCGCAACGCGGACGGCGCCGCGGACATTGTAAAAAGTTGAACTGGAGAGAAACTTAACGATGGCTGAGGAGGGTTGGAGTCTATGTAACTTATAGGAGGTTACCAGTGGAAGAGAAACCAATGTATGCGCCGTGCACTCATATTTATTCATACCCATATCTCTGTAGCTAGGCATATATTAGACTAGGTATGTGTAACTGTCAGGCGCCACTCATCCCATCTACTATAAGAGTCTCTAGTCCGGTGGATACTATCCCTATCACTACCTACATCCTTACACCGCTTATTCGTCATCACAAATTCCATTCAAGCTCCGTAGGTGCGCCACCGGACCCAAGCGATACGGAGGCATCACCAACACGACGACAAGGTCAAGCCTTCTAACCAAACCTGGCCACCAACACGCGGAGGGCGGAAATGGCTGGAAAGTAGATGTAGAATCTAAAGGGCATCTGATAAAACAATTTGCCAACAGGCCAGCGAGGAAGTGCCCCGCTGTCAATATCTCCAGATGAGTGTTGAGAAAGGTTGAAATGGCATGACGAAGATTCGCTAGGCTGGACTGAGCCGGGATGAACGAGCGGAATACCTGACCCTTGCCCCTTTTTTCGGCTCCGAGTTGCTCAAAGCGGCCAACGCCAACACGAAATCGCGGATCGACCGGGGTATGGGACGGCGCTGGGGCGGGGAACGCGCCATCATCGACGATGCAGATCGCCAGGACGAGACCGAGGCACCACGTGGATATGCTTCGCCTTGGTTCGTGATGAAGCGACGGCAAATTACCGGACCGTTCTTCGACACGGTCGGAAGGGAGTGTCGCTTCGGTGGGTTCCGACAGCTCTGGATGCTCTCCGGTGACAGGGGACCGGCTCCACGGCGCTCCTCGCTTCATCCACGGGGCTGCTGTTTCCGTCGGGAAGAGCTCCGCGAGATCGTTTGACCACCTGTATAACCAAGTTAGACATCGTACATACGACAGCCCAACAAAGCGCACTGGTCTGACAATTTCGAAATTAGTCGATCGACGTTGAGTATGGCTCACCGGGGTCAGGCACTCGGAGCCGAGAGTAGCTAGAGAGAAGTGATCATGTAACCGAAGATGTGGCAATCAATAGTAAGGGAAGTGATTTCCTTCAGGTCTCCGATTCTCCTAATAATTCACGAACGTGATTCTAACATCCGTCGTCGAAGTAGCTCGTAAACGCGTTAAAACATGTATGTCAGACACCGGATTTGATGGCAAGTCCCGATATGAGCTTGGGCATTAAGGGCATTCCTATCAGTACAAATCCCAACGCTTTCATCGCGCTCCCTAGAGCTTCTCTTGCGCCCCCCCGGAGGAGTGGTATCCCTTGCCGAGAAAGATGAGGTAGTCCACATCGGACTCGCTCTTCCAATCCGGCGCTTGGAGCTGGTACCGGCTATTTGGGAGCGCGATGGACCTCACGTACCGCGAGGCGACGTGCGAGGCGACTTGGTCTCCGTCGGAGTGCGCGTTGTAGAGCAGCAGGGCCGCGGCGGTGACCGCCTCGATGTGCTCGAGGACGTCCCTGCTGCGGTACTCGAGCTCGGCGGGGCCGCTGGTCTGCACGACGGCGACGAGGGCCTGCAGGCGCTCGCGGACGACGTCGCACTCGGGGGCGAAGCGCGGGCGGCAGCGGTCGAGGACGGCGGCGGCCCAGGCGCCGAACACGGCCTCGACGGCGTTGCCGCGCGCGATGCGCCGGTCCGCCAGCACGCGGCGGACGTCCTCGGCCATGACGCTCGCGGTGCCCTCCCAGATCGTGTTCGCGATCGCGTCGCGGAACATCTTGGCCACGTTCAGCACCCCGCCGTCCTCGCTGTTCTCGCAGTAGCCCACGCCCCCCAGGCACTCCATCGCCTCGCGCAGCCCCCGCACCGACGCCAGGCTCACCTGCGCCTTGACCACCGGCGTCAGCAGCCGCAGCAGCGCCTCCCGCGCCTCGCCCGCGCGCGGCACCAGCCCTTCGCCGCCGATGCTACCCGCCGCCGCCGCCTCCCACCCCTGCTCCCCGCACCCGAGCAGCGCCGCGCCGAAGAAGGTCAGGTGCGCGGCCGCCCAGTACCGCACGGTCTCGCGCGCCATCCAGAACGCGTGCTGCGCGTTCTCGCGCAGCGGCCGACCGCGCACGAGCCGCACCTTGGAGTACGCGCGGCACACCGCCAGCCCGCGCGCCCAGTACGCCGCGCTGCCGGCCGCCGCGTGGATCCGCGTGATGTTGAGGATTGCCGAGATCTCCTTGACGCCCCGGCCCTCCTCGCCGAGCAGCCAGCCTCGGGCGCCGCGGATCTCGAGCTCCGCCGTCGGCAGCGCCCGCGTTCCGAGCTTGCTCTTGAGCCGCTGGATCCGCACGCCGTTGAGCTCCGTGGCGCCGCGGGCGGCCCCGCCCGCGCCCCGCCGCAGCGGCATGTAGAACGCGCTGATCCCCTTCGGCGTCCGCGCCAGCAGCACCGTCATGTCCGAGTCCGTCGCGCTGCTGAACCACTTGAACCCGTCCAGACGCCACGGCCCCAGCGGCAGCCCGATGGCGTCCTTGTCGCGGCCTGCCGCTGTGTCCGACGCGATCTCGCCATCGCTTAGCCTCCGCGCGACTGTCTCGGTCCCGCTGACGTCGCTCCCCCCGGTCCGCTCGGTCATCCACTGCCCGCTCGTCCAGGCTTCGGACGGATCTGTCGAGGTGAGCCTGCGGTACGACTCGGCGATCACCCTGTGGAGACCCGGCTGGTCGCCGTCGGCATCGTTCTTGTGCCGGAGCAGCAGCTTCGCCGCGCCGTCTACCATGGACATGGGGCACATGGTCATGGCCGAGCTGTGAGACCACACGTGCGCGTGTCCGAACTGGTCTATCCTTCGATTGTGGGTGGTGACGCCCTGGTCGTACGCGCGAGCGACGATGCCTTCTTCGATGCCGATGTCCTTGAGGGCATTCCACCCTGCGCATGTCCATAGAGGATCATTGCGGTTTTCCTGGCCGAACGTGGTCAGCGGTCGCAGTATTGGGACGTTCGTCTCGGCCTCGGTGGCATGGGAAAGGATCGCTGGCTCGAGCACGCGGCGGGACAACTTATGGATGGATGCGCCGACGGTGGCCTGGGCACGAGGCGGAAGATACTGTTGCAAGATGCGAGCGAGAACAGGATCATCGGAAATACTTTGGGCGTCCCGCTGCTCTCCCTGGACCAGGACGGGTAGAGTGTATTGGGGTTCGATTGTCGGTAGAGTCTGGAAGAAGCCCTCCGTTGAGGAGGAATGTGCGAAGTCACCGGGCTTCGTCATTGTAAGTTAATTACACAGAAATGAACTAGATGGGCCTCATAATTTAACACGTAGAGGGAAGATGACGCATCCTAGATCTGACTCGCGGCAGATGAAGGAATCTGTATATGAAGATGACCTCGAGTCCAATATGTGCTAAACATCAGAAGCACCTGTCTCATTCACATTTGTAGCAGATGACACCCGAGACTAGCCGCAAGAAAGATTTGAATAACTACCTACATATGTACTTGTCTCAATCCTCACTGCTAAGAAGGACTAAACATCACCGACACTGCCAAATACGCCTGGTGATCAAGGCGAACCCCCCTCCTAGTCCCCCCCGCCCCCGGCAGCTCGCCCACAGCGCGGATTACTCTGGGGATATGGAGAACATGGACGTGGAGAGGACCCACATACCGAGGTTCGAGGCTCGCTGGCAGGGGTAATAGGCACCTCTCAAGGGGGGGTTAAGGCCCTATTGCTCGCGTGTGGTCCTTGGCGGAAATTCAGCTTCTCATAGCGCTGTGTTAGGTTTACCTACTATTCTCTTATAACTTACAACTACATCGCTATTAGTCGCCGGCCTACGGATTTTCTGTCCGCACATATGCACAGGGGGAAACGTAATCCTCATTGTACATAGGCACATGTAATAGAGTTCGGTGGAACTCTCTATTTAGCACAACTCTCTAGGCAGTGAGTAAGTATTCCAGGCGTCTTCAGACTGCATGCATGGCCTTCTGGGAATACCTAGTGCGCACATAGGCAGTACTTGCATATTAGGCACTCGATCACCGTGAATAGTTCCCAGTGAGATAGATAATCTGTACAGGACAGCAACTTGCTTAAGATCAACGCGTACGAAATGTCTCGAGCGTCGCCCTGCCCGTCACCAACGTCCACACCCATAGCGCGTCTACGATAAGCACGTCGACAAAGGTAAATACCAGGCTTCCTCCGAAGACAAGGCTGTGGTACGTCCAAGCCGTATGCTCGCTGAAGTCCTTAACCTGGCACACGATCGCCCAGGGGAGGACGTACAGGAGGTTACTCGCCAGGCTCTGGTAAAGGTACCATTTCGGCCGGGTAGCGAGGAGGACGGTGGCTAACTGCGTCGACGCCGCGTAGAAGATGTAGCACCAGTCGATGGTTTGCCACATGTACGCCGTGACTTGGGCGACCTCGTCCGACCCACTGAGGTACCGGGCGAAGGGTCGGGCGCCCCAGAAGGAGAGGAAGATGGCGAGCGGGACTTCGACCGCCAACGCGATGGCCAGGGAAACGAAGGCCGGCTTCATGATGCGCAGCACCGTCCCCAGCGCGACGCCGCTGGGTCTGCGCGTCGTCTCGCCAAGCTCGTGGCGCCAGGCGCCCCAGCGGTGGCCCACCCACGCCAGACTCGTCGCCTCTAGTGATGCAACAGGCACCATCACCAATCCCCACCGGATCGTGTTGAAGACTCCCCAGGCGGTTGCATACGTCGACCCGAGCGCGACAATGGTGGTGACCAACCAAAGGTATAAGGCATTGCGGACGGCGGATTCGATAAGAGTGATGGTCCCCGGCCGCAGCAGAACCATCAAAGCATCGAAGCTAGGCCGGATCGTCTCTCGACCGCTCAACTCGACGCCGTGTGGGCCATCGGAGTTGGGCTCCGAATGCCCGGACTCCGTCTGCAGACGACGCCAATACTTCAAGCTAGTCGCCCAGAGGAAGTAGCCAAGCCCCAGCAAAGAGGCCGCCATGTTGCAGGTGAGCTGGATGCCGGCCTGCAGGTTAATCGACGGCTGGTGACGGCCGACGTGGAAGCGCGAGATGAGGAGGACGTCGAGGACGATGTTGATGGCGAACTTGGCGGAGCTGATGAGGAGGGGCACGTCGGGTTTGTCGAGCGCGCGCGTGGCGGCGGCGACGGCGGTCTCGATAGCGGAGCTCAGCGCCGAGAAGGCGCTGATGCGGATGTAGGTCAGGCTGGCGGCGCGGACCTCGACAGGCACGAACCCCTCGGCAAAGGTGGCGGCGCCGCCGAAGAAGGCGATGCTCATGAGGAGTCCCAGCACGGCCTGGAACAGGATAAGTGTGTGCGTGAGGCCGAGGCGCTGCGCCGCCGAGCGCGACGCCCTGTCGCCGATGATCACCCACGCGGCACGGGGCAGCCCTTCGTTGAGCACCTCGGCGACCACGCCGATGTAGGTGTACACGTCGGTCGTGGCGACGAAGGAAGAGTCGATGTCAGCCACCCATAGCTTGACGAGCGTGCCGTACAAGGCTGGTAGGACGAAAGCGCCCACGTTGAACAGCAGAGCCCCGTGGTAACTGTTGCGGTGGAAGTACCGCGTCCAGCCAAATTTGCGACTGCGATGTGCGGTTCCATTTTGGGAGAATATCGGTGCGCTGTACGCTGCGTCGTCACCTCCTGGTGGCATCGTATGTTCAGGGGTAAGCGGGTCAAATGCGACCAAGATTCCTGAGCTCCTAGAAGTTATCGCGAACTACAGCTACGGGAGCAGCAGCGAGAAAAAGGCTCGTGAGGCTGATCAGCTGTGGGGGAAGCTAGAAATACCTACGGACTCGCAGTGGCGATCGATGTCTGACATACATGATTATTACTCCAACTGTACTGTTTGGTCAGCCCTTAAGACGATTGCTATTTGTTGATGGGTCTCTGTAACATATGCACAACACGAGCTGGCAGCTGAATCGACAAGCCTGTGTTGCCTTATTGGCTTTTATATGGTGATGGCTTTCACCATCGATGCTACCTTAGTGCTCTTCGGCCGACCTATCTAGACTTTTCAGCAGCGTTATGCCTTCAACTCCTGAATGTCGACCTCAGCCAGTTCAGGGCAAAAGGAAAGGGGGGGGGGGGGGGATTCGCCCATGCCTGGTGGTTGACAGGGGGGACCATAAGGCGCCCCTGATATTACTGTCTGGCTCTGCGCAAACAACGGTCAGCCATCTCGCTCCCTTGGTGCCTCCCAAACATATTGACAGGCGTGCCGTTTGCTTTGATAGAGTGCATGACAACTGCAAAGCAATGTGGATGAAGCCAAGTCAGACATGCCTGAGCTCATCGCGACTTATTGTTATTAAGGTGGGAGTAAGTCTTTTTCTTAGTACTCAGTGGACTTTTTCCCCTCTTCGTCCACATGAGGGAGAGGGGGGTCGGGGAAAATCGGCTGGCCTCTCTGGAGGCGGCATCGTTCTTACGAAGATTCTCTAGATATCAAGTATATTCTACCAACGTATTAGCCTTAATTGTGATCCATGCCTGCGGGGGTGTATACGGTCCATTAACGCACCTAAAGGATAAGTTGACCTCGCCCCAGGGTTTCGCCTACATCGCTAATCTTCAGTTCCTTCTCATCAAGGCCTCTCATACTGTACATAATCTCTCGGGATAGAGCGTGTCTCGCCCTCGTTATGTACGGTCCTGGGGCTGATCCCCGGCGCCGGCCCAGCCAGCCACCTTTACGTCTGGCGTTGCGCCAACTTGAGGCGCTGCCTCTCGTAAGAATCCTTTCTTACTTACTCTTTCGACCTGACGAGCTCGTCGGAATACTTCGGGGCGCGACCGCGGAGCCGGCGACTGCGATGCGCTTTCAAGCAAGGATGAATGCGTACCGAAGGAACCGCACCTCGGTATCGTAGCCCCGTGAGAGCTAAGGCGGACGTGCCAGTCGGTCTTAAGGTCTCTCCTCGCGGGCCGGCGTTCGCCTTGAGCCTTCATGGAACGTCCTTAGACGATGCACCTGTCAGCACGATCTCCCGGTGCTGGGGCCGTGACAGAGCTACGGGTGATGCGCCGCCGACTTGGGCAAACAGCTGCGAACTCGGATTGCTGTTGGGCACTGTCCGCGTGGGACAGGACGATTCGTACCGACCATAGGCCATCATTAATATCCAGCAACGGCAGATGGCAACCGGGCTCGCGGGCGCCACCTCTCGCACTTAATTACAGCTGCCATCAGCTGCAACCACCTGCCTGATATACAGGTCAAATAAAAGGACGAGAATAACCCTTATAATTACATACTTAATCGTAATAGTCGCAATACTGCGTTATTGGGGCTTTGTATTTAAATTGGACACCTTGTCTTATTGAGGTGTGTATACCCAAGGCACATTTTTTACCTAATGTACCTCCATGCGATTCGTATGTACCTGAGCAAAAGCGGCGAGGCGACACGTGACCTCGGCAGGTGTTAGTCGTCTAGATTGCAGTGCTTTGCGATGTCACTGGGAATGCGATCTGGTATTTGAGATGTATTTAGAAGATGGAGAGCCTGTAGCTGGCTCCCCTGGGTATATTCTATTGGCACTCCCCATCGCATCTCCGTCCCTTCCTCGTGCGCCGTATGAAATAAAAGAGTTAAGTCCCACCCGAACGCCTCATAAAAACTCGTGGGTTATCGTATAACTTCGTGAAACGACCGCGAGCAACGAGTTTGTCAGCTTCAGCTCGTGGCCTTCGCAGTCCTCATGGTGCCGCAGTCACGGCGTGCCACGCGCGAATACCTACGCCCGTGGCTGTCGTAAGGGCGTGGGTAGGTAGGTATCCATCCCATAGGTAGGGCTCGTGGCAAAACGGAACCGGCCGGTCTCACTGTAAATAAAATAAGCTTCGGTAGATTGGATTTCGATCATGGTCCGAGATAAGCGATGCGACAAAAACTAGCCTCGACTATTCGTCTGATGTAAGCTGTGTCTGATTTGGGGTCCGCGGTCAGTCGGACACGCGCGAGTCGGCCTGAGCGCGTGGATAGTTTGTTTGCGATTTTTTTTCGGTAACGGAGTCTCGCATGCTTGAGGCTGGCGAGTCGCTCTTCAGCGTTAGCAGTATCCGATAACCCCCATCAAGGTTCCATCCCTGATCCCATCGCCATTTTCGGGTTTCCCCCCTCCGCACTCGTTTCGCGTCGCTTCCCGACATGACGCCGCTCGCGCCTTTAAACAGATTTCGTATTCGCCTTCAAACGGCGGCTTCCTCAGCCAGCAAAGGAAAAAAAAGTCTGATGACGTCCACGTTCACAGCATGCTGTTTTGCCTCCGCTCCTTCGCCATGATCCAATATCCGGCACCGATGAAGAGCATGGCGCAGACGCAGACGGCAGGGACCAGCGCGGCGGTATAAGTGACCTGCTCGTCGTGCGTGGCGCCGTTCCAGGCTATGGCCCACTGGGGAAGCCGGATCGAACCGCCCTGCACCAGCCAGGCGATGACGAAAACGGTCAGGAGAGCGACGGCAAAGACGGCCTGGAGGGTGGCGTAAATGGTGCGTTGGAAGGCTGAAGGCTGGTGTTCGAGGACGGTCATCTTGTCAGCTCTCGCTCTGTCGCTATCACATGTCCTCAAAATGACGAGTTGAGACGACGGAATTGAAGTTATCAATGTCTTTTCAGCGGGAAGCTGAGGAGTAGAGGAGGAAAGGGGAAAGGAGGAGGAAAAAAGGAGGAAAAAGGAAGAAAAAAAAAGGAAGAAAAAAAAAGGAAGGCGAAAGGGAAGGGGAGGGAATAAAGAAGAAACAAAATACCTCAGGCGAATTTCGTAGGGCTGAGCGGGGCACAAGGGAGGAGGAGGGAGGGTAAGAGAGCTAGGTGTGTATGTGTGTGTTGTAGGTATGCCTGACCACACTCGTGTTGTGTCGATCCATTTCTTGGGTCGGGAAGAGGCTGGAGCCCGAGAGCGAAGTCGATCGATGACTCGAGGAATGACGGCCTCGGAAGGCTCGGAATTGCGAATATGAGGGATGCAGGGCCAATTCCCAGCGGCGGCTGTGATTGGTCTGTCTGCCAGTTCGGGGTCACCCACGACTGGCGTGAGGCGTTGCAGAGCCGGTTCTGAATATAGCACAAAGCAGTGAAGGATCGGGGGGCAAGCCTGGTGAGCTTGGTTGGTGAGCTTGGCTGGTCGGCCAACCGAAAACGGGTCGCCTAGTTGGCAGGACTTGTCAATGTGAGAAAGGTGGCGTCCGCGGAGAGGGCCTAACCCTGCTCCGCGATCTTCATTTCCCGATCTTGTCGACTGCGGACCACCTCCGCCTGCCCTTCCACCTATCCTTACAGGTGGTCGTAATTCCATGAGTAGCGAGCCCACGATGGTTGCGCATACGCGGAGACGAACGAGCCGACTAAGTCGCGGGTGGCCGGTTGTCGTCATGTTACGAATCCACACACGGGGTTGGCACCAAGGCGAAGAGTGCGCAGAATGCTGTCACAATGGTAAGCCGAAGCTAGTAGGGATGACGATAGCCTGCATCCGTCTCGTCAATCGAACGGGGCCAGTCGACAGCATGGCTTTCTTTGCTCGCGAGGCGAGCGGGGGCGTGTGTGTGGGGTTGAGACCGACGATGGAAGCAAATGATGACAACAGTGCCGGACCAGCCATCAAGTGAGACAGTCGTCAGGCGAGCATTCAGTGCATCTCATTGACCGCCACGGTTCCCTGGGCATGATTTGTCGGCGATGGGCGATTAGGGACAGTTCCGGCTGAATCATCCTCCTTGCTTATCAAGCCTCCCCACAGAGGGTCGGGAATCGCACATATAAGCAAATACTTCGGTCCAGCCCGTTATATCTGTAGCCTGACCGGTAGAAGACGACACGTCTCAGCCCATAGCGCGTAGGGATAGGGATAGGTAGGTGACGCCCGAATCCCTGTCCCTCTGTGACAATTCTACACATATGTAATACACGCCTCCTCTCGCAGGTCCCTATTTCGCGCCATGCTTCCCTCCACGGGCCGTTTTTGTAGTACCCAGATCGGATCCAAGATCTGTGGTGATGCGGACCCTCATCGACCCTCCGCCGCTAGCAATAGGCTACCATAGCACAACTAACGCGCCCGAGGTCAATGGTACAGGGACCTTTTATTTGTATCTATCTCTCCATGAGCCGCCAACCCCCCTCTCTTCCCACCTCTCCGTCGGTATCGCTCGGGGTCCGAACATGCCGACCGCCCCGGGATCGACGCATATCAACTCGTCGAGTGCACATAAATGCCCGGAGTGGGCGCATCCCCGGCTCTTAGAGGTCTGTGAAAGCAGCAAACCCCATCAAATCGACGGCAACGCCCTACTAACGCCCTACTCGATCCGTTTTGTGAAGGATAGCCAACATCGGCGCCGCACTCGGGCTGCGCCTCCGAGCTTCGCCGTTCGGGGAGCAGACCAGGGAAGACTGCTCCACACCGGCAATCTGTCTGGCGACGAGAGCACGCGGAGCAATGCGGGAATGATCGAGACTAGGCACGGCGCCCCGGGCATCGCTATGTGTCCCAGTAGAAATCCGGTCGCACTGCCGAGTCCGACCCTGCGGCGCTGTGCAAGGTCGAGTAGTCGTGCACGTCCGGGTGGTAGCGGGTAAAGTATTATATGATGCTAAAGGCAGGGCGCCAGGCGATCTGGGACGAAAGGGAACGCTGGTCACACCCACACCTTTCCACCGACTGGTCCCCAGGACCAGGTCAATTCTCCTTAGGGCTCCTTGGCGCCCCGAGACGAGTATACCACGTACCTAGAACCTTGTAAGTAGAGTGCCACATCTAGACCTGAGCCATGCTGCTTTAAGCCCGAGCCTGACCCAAGTTTGGCCTGGGCTTGGCCCCTAATGCGATTTTGACGCAATAAACAGGCTCTACTTAGGTATGGTAAGGGTTTTTATAAACGGTTTCCGTCAATGACATCTGTTGTTCTCCAAGTTTAGAAACAAAAGCTAGGTAAGCCAATATTTAAACTTCCAGACCCCGCGGTCCGCATGCCCTGGTGCGCTCACACCTGGATCTCCTCTACCATGACACGCAAGTCAGCTAGAGTTGGACGCTCCTCTGGTCTCGGATGCATGCATGCTTTGACGATGGTCTGGAGCGGAGGTGGAACAGGCCATTCGATGAAACGCGTGATTGGCGCGTTCGCGTAAACCATACTTTTGATGCAATTTCCAATGTCATATATGTCGGACCTCGGGGTCCACCCTGAGTCTTCCGGGCCTCCGTCGAAGCTGACCTCGGGCGCTGACCGCTCTCCCCAGCGGCTTTCGAGGTCGCAGACGACCAGACGCTTCCCGTCGTCTGAAAAGAGAAGGTTGTCGGCGCGCAAGTCGCGATGAACGATGCCGACTGAGTGAAGACAATCCAAGGCGTCGATGAGCTGCAGAATCCAACTCTTGTAAACGGCCAAAGAGGAGAAGCCACCAAGAGTGCGCGCGCTAGACGACAGCTTCTCGAAGGTGAGTTTCCCGTCGGCAGACCTGCCAAGAAGCTGGATAACGTGCGGAGACATTGGATGGCCTGGCACAGAGCCGCCCTGACACCTGATGAGATTATCGATTTCGCTTCGGTACTTGCCCTTCTTGACAAAGTGCTTCGCTGGGTCAACACAGACGAGAGGCAGCGTGGACACGAGCTCGCTCACGTCCTCGGAGTCGTCCTCTATGAGTTCAGGATGCTCAAAAGGGCGGTCTAGCGGACGTATGTCGTCGCCATCGATCTCAAAGTGACCTGACACGGGAGGCAAGTTGCGATAGAGTCGTAGTATGTCGCCCGAGAGAGTACCGGGAACGTCGAAGATGCGCACGCATTGGCCATACGTGGTGCCGTCGTCAAACCAGTACGTCATGTAAGACTTATCGCCGCGCCGGAGCTCCAGTTCGAGAAGTGATCGACCACCAGGCGGATAAAGATTGGTAGTAACGCGACGGTGCTCATACTCGGCTCGGAGACGAAGCACTTCTTTGCTGAACGGGTCGTTGGCTTGACTAGTCATGGTTGGTCGTCGGTGTTGATTGTGAGAGGTATGGGTGGTGCTGGCGTCTGTGGTGTTTAGGACTGCGAGAGGACGAAATAAAGGACGCAGAGGCCCTGCTGCAGACGACGGTGTTGGTTGAACATATGACAAGGTAGAGGCAAATCCATTCTAGGACGCGACCAACAAGCGATAACTAGGTATTGGATGAAGCACAACCTTGCTTACAGCGCGTCGGCGATGTTTTCGCGTCGATAAGAGGCCAAAACGCCAACTTCAGGTTGGGAGAGACTGTCTCCGGCGTGCTGCTGACTGGTTACCTCTCATCAGGCGTATACACGCCCGGAAAGCAACCTCGGACGTGTAAGAATCTCACCCGAAACGCGCCCTTCCAACCCACAAAAGGGGGGTTTGATATGATTTCCGAGATCAATTTGGTGCCCCGCCAAGACAGCCAGGGTAACGCGGATAGCCAAGGTGTGGCAGCATTCTCTCATGCTAGCTACCACTAACGCAACAGATCTGCAGCTAACTCACCTCGCAAAGTCGCGGCTGGACCCCTCCTCGATCTATGAGTTAGGTAGAGCGTGGCTGGGCTAGACGCGGTTGGTGTTGTGCTGTCATGGCTTCTCGAATTACGGGTCAATAGGTACCTACTCTGTTGGTTAGGTGTTATAACATCGTAGCCAAGCCCCGAATCCTGCAATATTGTGCGTTCTCTCGCTTATGAGGCCGTAGGGTGTCCTTCAATCCTTATCTCTGGCCCTATGCTATGCTTTAACCCTCCTTATCTACGCTGAGGGTATGTTAGGCTGGTGTGCATCTATGGGACTCCAATTCGGTACGTACCCACCCTACTTAGCACCCGGGAGCGGGGCCTGCTCCTAGTAAAAGCGCCGTTAGACGTTGGAGGGGCTGCGACGACGACGTCTGAGCTACCGCCTGAGCTACGCAGCGCCCAGTACAGCATCACCTCGCGCAAATTTCCCTAAGACCCGCACCGGGAAATCGGCATGGACAGTCCGTATTCCAGGGAGCTAGAGGTCGCCATCGGAGCAATCCAATCTGCCACCAAGCTTAGCCAAGCCATCACCTCGGTCGACGACAAGGGCGTTCTCGAGAAAAGCGACCTCAGTCCCGTCACCATCGCCGACTTCGCCATCCAAGCACTGTTGACCGCCACCGTCCACCATGCCTTCCCCGGCGATAAATTTGTCGGAGAGGAGTCGTCCGGAGACCTGAGGAACAACCCTGCTCTCCTCGACCGCGTATGGCAGCTGCTCCGGCGGCTGGAGGACGACGAGGCCCAGTCGCTCTGTAAGCTCCCGACCTCGCCCGAGCAGATGTGCGAGATGATCGACTGGTGCGGCTTTGGCGAACCCGGCGGATCGGCCGCCGGGAGGGTCTGGGTGTTCGACCCCATCGACGGGACCAAGACCTTCGTTCGGCGCGAAGCCTACGCCATCAACGTCGCGCTCCTCGAGGGGGGCAAGCAAGTCCTCAGTGTCGTGGGCTGCCCGACTCTTCCCGTCGATGCCGAATTCCCTATTACCAACACCACTGCCGACCCCACGGGACAGGGCAGCATCCTCTTTGCGGCAAGGGGCTACGGTACGTACATTCGCCCCTTAGTCGGATCCCCCTCGGACGAGATCGAGGTTCGCAGAGTCGAGCCGCACGCCGAAGCCGAGACGTCGCAGGAGCTGCGGCCCGTCTCCTGCTATAGTATGGTGGATTCCGGGATCGACGATGCCCATAAGCTGGCTATGCAGCGGCTCGGCATCAACAGCCTGGGGTGCGATCTGCTCTCATGGGTGCTTCGGTGGGCGGCCCTGGGGCTGGGTCTCGCGAACATGACGGTCTGGATCTACAAGGACCCGCGCCGGAGCGGAAAGATTTGGGATCACGCCGGCGCTATGCTCTTGTTCGAAGAGGTTGGAGGCAAGATCACAGATATCAGTGGCAAAGACATAGATCTAGGGGTGGGGAGGAAAATGACGGCCAACAATGGTTTCGTCGCTGCACCGAAGGTGATGCACGCTGCGGTCCTCGATACTGTTCAAGAGATTATTCGAGAGTGCGGCAAGGGACATCTCCTGGGTTGAGTTGGACGGATTTGGCCGAGAGCACTGTAGGATTAGGGAAGCAACAATTACGCATCCGACGGGACTAAACAAGAAGAGGATCATCCCATTATCGTCATACTGAAACCCGAGACTTTGGAGAAGCATTGTTTTCGACAGATATTTCTCCTTGGCGAATAAGCATACCTTTGGCCAACGCTGCTAGTGGGTTAACGACATCAACGTCATAATTTAGTCTTGGTTGGTGTCATCATTCGGACGCCAACACATCGGAGACATGGCTGGCGCCGCGGAGTTAGAATTTACGGTCAACACCGCTTTCGAGCCGATAATGTAGGGAGGTGCTCGAGATAGGAGCTCGGTACAATTAAATAGCCCGAGTAAGGAACCTAGTGATATCCACCCCAAGCCTTTCGAAATTCTCAGGTATGATCAGAGATGGCGGAGATTGCCTGGATTCTCTGGACGGCAACCTACGAAAGGGGGCTAGCCCCTACGTGACCTTACGGGGTTACCGGGCGAGATTTCACCACCTGGCGGGTTCTGAGCACGAGAGAGTCGGGCCTAGCGCGTGGATATGGGATAGGATACCTGCATAAAGGCGATAGGCCTGGTCGGGTGGCTGCATGTGCAACTCGCATGAGCCTCCTCTCCAAACAACCTCCAGCGGGGCAAACAGCGTCACCAGCGGCTGCTGCTGGCTTGCTGGCTTGCTGGTCCAGCGCCACGTCCAGAAAGTCCACGTGAGGGCGCATGGGTGCGGCCCTCCTTGCGGGACGGGGTGGGGGCAGGTTTGCGGCACATCTAGAACCTCAACCCGAGTACGCCAACGACACCCAGACTACCCCGTATGGTGTTGTGATTAAAGGCGGGAGGCCAGGAGGCCAGGAGGTGGGAACGGATAGGCACCTCTATCTCATAGCCTCAAAAAGGAATCCGTGTTCAAGATTCGAAAATACGTGCCAAAAGAAAAGGGACCAGATATCGACCCTCATCCAGCACGCAGAAACCTGAGGCCAAACAGAAAGGAAGCCTACGCTCGGGAGACGAAGATAATCGCGACACGAATTAATATATAAACGTAAGGTTATTATTCCGATAGAAACCGTTATTCCGACTTAACGTATTTAAAATTAAAAGAATATCCCGGACCGAGAATCGCTTTTAATAATACGCGTACGGCTAATCGAACGACGTTAAAAAAATATCTTAACCGTAGCTAAGGTTCTAGCGGCTAAACGTAAAGAAGTAACCATGGAACGTGTAGGTTGAGATTTGGTCTCCCACTCAGTCCCGTACCCCCCCGACTGAGAGCTCGTCACTTCTCCTGAAGGAGGGAGAGAAGCTTCTGAAGTTCAGCATCATCGGAGTACGCGTCAAGGTAACTAACCCTATCCACAGCCTAAGGATGCGAAAATTCCTCATCATAGAAACCGCCATTCTCTCAGTCAACCGCCCCAACGACTTCTAACGTGGTCCGGTCCTCCAGGAGACTCTGGGGGCCTAGGTTTTTGTGGTAGGTAGAAAGCAAAATCCGTCTGATAGTACTGTCCGGTAGCCAACTCGGACCTCAACACGATCACCATTCTGCGTTAACGGAGCAATACGATATCTGCTTGAGGAACACACGCGCTCTATTGTCCACGAAAGACTTCTCACCTAGTCATAGTTTGAACCACTCGTGATCCAGCGCGGTTTTCGCGCTAATCCGATCTTTCGGCTCGTACTGCAACAGCCGACCCAAAAGATCGGCAAAAACGTCCTTTTCCCGTCCAGAGATATCCCGATGGTGACCTGCTCTATTATTGGCCAGATACCAAAGCCCAGGGGCAATAATCTCCCGTAGCGATCGAGCACCCTGCACAACAGATGGATGGGCGATAGAAGCCGGATGGCCCCTATCCTCCCCAGAGCCATTCGTTACAGTCTCAGGTTTCATGGCGTCGACTGCAAGGCCATGCTCGTCTGTTTCGTCCTCATAAAGCCTACTCCGCTCCTCCCATGTCGTAGACCACCACGGCTCAGGTAGCTTTCCTAGGAGTTGGACCATGGCGTCGAGGTAATCACTGTCCTCGTCGTCGAAAGGATTGAAGAGCTTCCTCCCGGTCCGTATCTCGAACAGCAAGCAGCCAAGAGCCCAGATGTCGGAGCCGATTCCGGCGACTTTGTCGAGAATCAACTCTGGGGAGCGATACGGTCCAGGTATGCCGAGATCTTCGGGGGGCTCCGTAATTAGAAATGACTCACCAAAGTCGATGAGGCACGGTTGCTCCCTAATGTACCTACTGTCGACATCCTGCCATTCCACGGGGTAGACAAGATACTGAGGAGCACCCGGGTCGTCATGGTTCTCGCCCGATTGCCGCTGAACCGGGTTTTGAACGGGGTTGCCCAAGATGCGCAATACTTCCTCTTCCGCCAGGCCGTCGAGGCCGGAAATGCGGTGGAGAATGTTGCTCGGCGTAATATCTGGTCCCTTATTAGCGCTTGCTCTGGCCTATTGGCGGAGGGGAGAGAAGTGGCGAGTGGTTTCAACTTACCGCCGTGACATATTCCATGGCTATGCAGGAACTCGATGGCCTTCACAGTCTTAAAGCAAATACTTCTCAAGACCTTGTCAGGATCTTGGGAATCACGGAACAGGCCGAGAGAAACACTAGGCCCGAGAACAGGATAAACAAAACAAAGATGGTCACCGTTCGGGCCATGGATTTTGAACTGATCTTGTGCGAGACATATATAATTTGCACCATTGTCGTCATCTTGGCCAGCGCTGCGAGAATTCTTGAGCTCATTTGATATCCGGAGTTCGGGACAGTCATCAGTAGATACCTCCGCCATCAGTATTTTCAACGCAAGATAGACTGTCTCCTCTGCGTTCGTGTCCCGGCAAAGCCAGACGTTAGCAAAGCCGCCATGACCGAGTTTATGGATGACACGGTATTGACCATGGCTGCCAAGGAGATCTCCCAGGTGGACGGGGTGGTGACCGCCAGTCTCGTAGTCGTATATTTTTTCCAATTCAAACGGGGCAAGCTCTAGGTAGAGACCGTTGGACTGGAAGGGAGGAGCAATGCCTTCGTCAATGGGCAACGAGGACCCAGGAGAATCTGGCGGGGACAGCTCCGTAGACATTCTGAGGCCCCGAGATCGGCCAGCGAAGTTTCGGACTCATAGAGCCCCTCTCGCCTCTGGTGATGTTCTTTGTGGGCCGCGATTTAAAAAGAACAGGCAGGGCCGGCGGATCAGGCGTGAGGAATCGCGCGAGGTGTGTTGAGGTGAACAGAGGATAGGAAAATGAATAGGGGAAGATAGCCACTGGAAGGGAAGGGCCCAAAGAACGCTGTCTGGTGGTCAAGTGTTCAATTGTGAGGGTGGGATTCTGTTGGGTTTAGTATCATTTAGGAATAATATGGGTGGACTCCCGATGCGGATGAGTGGTTGTATTATATCTTAAGGACAGATAAATCTCATGGAAAAAGCTTGATTATTCTAGGTTCTTTAGCGGAGCTAAAGCTAAGAGCTAAGGGCTAAAGGCTTTATGGAAGTTTACGGGAGCGGCTAACTTATTTACTTATCCTTCTATCTTATTACGATATACCCGGCTCCCGAGTTAGGTAGCTCCTAATACCTTAGTAATAAAGCCTTAGCCGGTTACCCGTTAGTAAAAGGCGTTAAGTAATTAGGGTATATCTTATTATAGTATTTCCTTTAGTTCTTAGGTTATTATATCGTATCTTAATTATTTAACTTAGTATTATTTTCCGTTATAATACTAACGGGTACCTAGAATCCTTTCGACGACGTAGGTATCGTAGCCGTTCGTACGTAATGGTTTTAGTAGTAGTAATGGCTTTCCGGGGTTTACGATAGCCTTCTTTAGGTATTATATGTTAATAACCGGGTATTATTTTAGCTATAATAAGAGTTTTAATTCGTAACGATAAGGGAATACTTTACGTATAATTTTAAAAGGACTAACGTAGGTAAAGGAAAGTTTCGTTTAGTTATTTAAATAATACCTCCTTTTTTCTAGTTTAGCTAGCTTTATATACGCGAAGTCTTAAAGATCTATTAGCGGAAAATGTCTAGAATCGTAAATAAGTTTTATTTTTATCTCTATAAAACGGATTACGTCGTAAGCGTTTTACTTATATTATACCTACGTAGATACGAAATCGTTAGATATTAATAAATAAGGTAGGATATGGAACTATATAAGTTCGATTCCGTAGAGTACTTAGAAAGGGAAGAGTTTCGTAGTATCGTTAACGGAAGTATTTAATACTACTAGAATATAAGGGAGTATTTCCGGCTAGTGGTTTTAATTAAATAATAATCCGAGATAGGTTCGTAAGGCTATTTTTATAGCTTTAATAATTACCTCGGCTTATCCGTTAGCTATAGAATAATACGCGGATATTAACCGGGTTTCGATATAAGTTACTTAGTATAGGGTCTACTAGAATATAGAGGTAAACTTAGTATCTATATCTAATATAAAGGCTTCTAAAAGCTATTAATCTAGGTATATATATTAGAAATATAGTCTGGCTTAGTCTTCTATAGTATACGTAGTCTTTCCGCATAAGGCCTTTTTAAATTTTAATAGTTTATCGATAATAATTAAGGCGGTATCGTATCCGCTATATAATATTAGAAGGCTTACGACGAAGTCTAATAAAAGGACTCGGAATAATTCGGTAGGTAATAAGATCGGTAGAAGATTTCTAGGTAGTAATATATTACCTAGTTTAGCTACCTAATAAGATAAGTAAGCGTTAACGTACGTTTTAACGATACGTTTAAGAGAGAGTATAAAGGTTATGTTTCGAAGAAACGCATACGTCTTAGTAATTCTTATATAAGCCCGATCGTCGTATACTAGCTAGAGAAATTTATCTTAATATAATTATAGTACGTAAAGGCGTTAGCGTTACTTATTATAGAAGAAGAGGAGGCCTAAAGAAGAGTTAAGGGTAAAGTAGTAAAAGGAATTTATAACTAGATCTTAGTTTAGTTATTAGCGGATCTTAGCGTATATAGTTTTAAAGGTATGATTTTTAGGAATAGCTTCGATAATATCCTAAGTTAATTAGTTTAATAAGTATAGTATCGCCGCTACGGTACTAGGTATGGAAGCTAAAAGCTTTCTAGCGGTAGGTAAGAGGAGGTTATTATCGTCGTTATTTACTATATTAACTTAGACGGGGAATAAACGGATAACGAATACCTTAGGAGGTTAAATCGATATATTTTATTCTTAAGGTATTAAGCTTAAGAAGGCTTATTAGTCGAGTAGTTAGGAGTATATACGTAATAAGGCGTTAACGTTAATATACTATTTACTTAATCGATAAAAAATCTTAATACGGTCGGTATATTAATTAAGATTTAATCGCTAGGCTAAGAGGCGTCGCTATTTACGAGGAATGCCTATTTTATTAAAGGCGTTTCTAATAGCTATATGATCCGTAACGACGTTAATAAAGTTATAATCTAAAATATAATTTAATTATTATAATATTTAAACTAGCGCTCTTATTTCTAATTCTATTAGTTAGTAATACCTTTAGTATTTATCGAGCGTTTTAAAGAGGAATATAAGCGGTACGTATTTATTATTTTAAATTTAATATAATGCTACGCCGTAGCCCTTAATACTTCTATCTACGAATAATATAAAGGGTTTAGTATAGTCTAGGAATGCTAGATTAACTACGTATCTTAATTTATTCTTAAGTATTTCCTAGGCTTTCTAGGCGTTCTTCTATAGCTTTAGTCGTCGGTTAATCTCGTAACTATAGGCTTTTTATTACGACGAATCTATAAGCTTATCCGGTAGTAGTAGTAGTACGGTATTTTTAGCGTATATTTTTCGTCTGGGGTTCTTTTTAAGACTATTTCTAAAGCCTAAAGCTTTAACTTCGAAGAATAGTTACGTAATAATAAAGTATTTAGGGATATGGTTCCTATGGTATTTCATAAGGCCTAGTCCGTATTTTAAGTCGTCGAGAGTATGTAATTATAGTTTTTAGATTACTGCTATTTTATCGTCGATAGTATTAATACCGACCTTAGATACCTATCTTCCGAAAGCGCGTAGTTCTAGTTAGGCGAAGTAGCATTTAAAGAGAGCTATGGATATACCGGACTTCTTTAGGATAATTAAGATTAGGTCGATATATTTAATATAATTATTTATATTACGGCTATAGATAATAATATCGTCGATATAAACAAAGGTAAACTACTAGAGGTATAGGGTAAGGAGCCGTTCTATTCTATACTAAAAGAAGCTAGGAGATATAGTTAGTCCTATTATACTAACGGTTAGTTATTCGTATCCCTTATATTAGGTTACGAAGGCGGTCTTTTATTTATCGTTTTTAACTATATCTTATGTTACGTAAAACGTAGACGCCTACATTCACGCTTTGCGGTATGTAGGCTTATATAGGCTGGTTCAATTGCTACGTGACATCTTATTAAAAGAATCCTTTAATAACGTTCATTAAAGTAAAAACCGTATACCCGTATATACTTAAGAGTATATCCTTTTATCGAGGTAGGGGATATTTATTAAACTATATTTTAATATTAACCTTACGTAGATCGACGACTATCCTGGGCTTATTATTTCGTTAAACGATAAAGGCAGGGCTTAAATAAGGTAATTCCTTGCTAAGGGGAATATCTTCGACGATACCGAGTTTCTTTAGGGGATCTAGTATATTATCTATGGCGTTTCTATTCCTTTTAGATATATAATAGGGTCTTTATCGAAGGTTTATTAGATTAACCCCTTTTTTTAAAGGTAATAAGTATCTTAATACTATCGTTAAATTTACTTAGTTACTATTAAAAGAGGTAGGCGTATGCTTTAATAATTTCCTATATACGGGTTTTTACCTAAGGTCCCTAGTAGTCGGATATATCCATCTCCTCGTTTATTAAGGTAAAAGGTATTACGTTTTAAGCGTTTTCTAGTCCGGGGAAATGATATAGGTAGCCGTTAGGGTATTTAAGATATTTAGGGTCGTTTAAAAGGTCGTCGGTATTACCTAGTAGATCGGAAAGTAGGACGGCCTAGTATCGGTCGTATTTCTTATCGTTTATATTTATAAGGTATAAGTTAATTAAATTACATATGTTAACTTTAGTTAAGGATCTTACGTATCGCCCGGTAGGTATACGTATCCTAATTTTACCGAAGTTAATAAAGGAAAGGGCGGCGTCCTAACCGGTAATAATGTCGTTAATAAGGCTTTCTAGCGTATTAGTTATTAAGGAGGAAAAGATTTTTAGTTTAATTAAATAACCGGATTTAAGGACGGGAAGTTTGGTATATAATATAGGAATGTTATATCCGCGGCCCGGCTCGAGTATTATTATTCTTATTATTCGAATCGCGACTCGTTCTAGTAGTTAACGATATAGTTAGTTATCTTTATGCCTTATACTAACGGCTCGTATTTTAAAGTCGGAGTTAGCTATTACTAGTATATCCTTTTTATTTCCTTATTTAATATGGAGCTTATTAAGTTAAAGAAATAAAGTTTTTAAAAGAAGCGAGTACGATAAGGAATCGATTATAAATACCGTATAATTAGCGGACCATTTATTATTATTAATAATCGGAAAGGTAAGTATTAAACGGGTTAATTCTATAACTATCGGGCCGTTACCGACGCCGCTTAAGGCTATCGGTTCCGGGAGGCGCGTTATAAGTACGGTAGGATAATATACGGTTAATATTAATCGGCTTATAAGAGTAATAAGAGAGTAAGTATCGATATATATTATTAGTTTTAATGTTTCTAATAAAACGGTAGTCTAGAATTACCGAAAGGATCGGAATAGGTATCTTTCATCGTTTAAAAAGAAAACATAAGCGCCGTTTAATACTAGATTTAAATATAAAGTAATAATAGTCTATATCGGTTTCGTTTTTACGGGTTTCGTCGTTTTACGGTATTTTTAGTTTTCGTATCTTTAATGTTCCGGAAGTAAGGTCGATAATAATACCCCGTCGTCGGTACTATACGGCCCTAGGGTATTAATTAAGTCGCCGGCGTACCGTTTTCCGGGTCCGTTTTTACGCTAACATCGGAAATATCTTATACGATACGGTCGAATTCCTCTTTAAGTAATAGACTTTCTTCCCTAATATCTAGGTCGGATATAATAATAGTATCCTTTATAAAGTAAGCGTTAACCTATTATTTTAGTTTAACGTAATCGCCGCGGTAGTTAGGGTTACCGTATTTATAATAAATCTAACGGCGGCGAGGTTTATTACTATCGTTAGTTTATTAGGCTAGTAGTTATTAAATTAGCTATATCGATTACGGCTAAGCTAGTTACGTTATTTATATCTACTAGTCTAGCTATATTAGCTAGCCTAGTTATATTTACTAGCCTAGCTATTACGTTAATTACTAGAAGGGTTATTAAAGTAATTATCTTTGGTCTTATTTTAGCTGGAATTATCCCGGTCTTCGTCCGTACCTTTGAAATCATTTAACGGCGTTACCTGGCATTTAAAGTTATCCTTTTATCGATTTAAGCTATTAAAGCTTCTTTTCCATAGCGGTAATACGGGAATGGTCCTTATTTTACTATATTTTAATACGTTTATATTCGGCTCGTATGAAATACTTTACGGATACTAGTTACGATTTCAGGTCCTTAATAATATTATGGGATTATCTAAGCATAATAACTTATATTAAACGGGGATTTAATCCTATTTTAATTCTTTTAACCCATAAATCTTCGTCGAACTCGCTAGCTTTATTATAAAGCCGTATCTTCCGGTCGACGTAATCGTAAAGCGGTAATATATCTTCTATATCGAAGGAATATTTTAAGTTATTAACTTAAAATAACGTTTCGCTTTTATCTTTTTAAAATCGCTCGAAGAAGGTAGCCTTAAGTAAGTTAAGGTCGAAGGTTATAATATCTCTTAGGGTTATAGGAAGGGAGTTAAAAAACGCTACCCCGTCGGTATCTCTTATTAGGATTTCTTACCTAAAGGTATCTAGTATTACCTCGGGACCCTTTCGGTATATAAGGAAGTTAATCTTATTAAGATATTCCGTAATAAGAGTTTTCTTATTATCGTATATAAAGATCTCCGGCTTAAGTTTATTATAAGGTCGCTTAGCGGGGTATATTAGTTAATAAGGTACCGGATTATCGGGAGGCGCCGGATAGTTAGGCCCGGACCGGTTTTATTCGTAGTTATAAGCGTCGTAAGGCTAATATTTACTTTAGGATCGAGTTATAATAGAAGGGAAACCTATTAGTTAGAAATCTATTAGTTAATAAGATAGCTATGGAAATAGTAGTAGCGGTTATTTTAAGGCTTTAAGGGTTTCGTATCGTAAAGATATAACCGGAATGTACGGAAATTCCGTAATCGGCGGTCTTTATCGCTAGATTATTATAAACTTTTCGAATTCCTAGGTATTAATAATTTATATTTAGTTATTAAAACTATCCGTTACCTTTATAGTAATATTTAGGCGTTAACGGGGGCTTATCTTTCTTAGGATAGTTTTAATATCGTCTCGGGAAGCGAGTAATTCTAAGGAGTAGTTTTAGAGGTAGGATAGTTTACCCTGCGACTAATATTGCGGTATTTCGTTAACTATAGTTATTATTAGGTAAAAATGATAGAGGTTTTCCATAGTAGGTAATACTTTAGTTATTTTACCGTTAAGTAATCGTAAATCGGTAGGCTTAGGTAGTAAAGGTAGCCTAGAAGTTAAGGGTAGGCGTTCTGGTTATTTTTCTAGGGATTTAATAAATAGTATTAATGGCCCTGTTCTTTAGTTAGATGGTCTTATACTATATAATCCGATAGGGTCTATACTTAATGAAGAGGATAAGGAGATTATTCCTCCTTATTTATATATTAGAAAAGAGGTTAGTAAGGGATTCGGTAGGGTTTAAGGCGTTTCGCCGTGGTCGTCTTTTAGATATATCGCTATAACTATTACTACTATACCTTCTATAGGTAGAATAGCTAATGTAACTATTAGTAATAAGGGACGTCTCTAGCTTTAAAAAAGGATTATAAGGTCCTTAAGGCCTTTAAGTAAATAAGGGGGGTTATTTTATGCGCGTAGTAATGATAAAGGGGGTTTAAGAGATGGGGTTTTAGGTACCGTGGTTTTAATAAAGCGGCCTTTCGAATCTCGGGCTCGTTTCGTGGGTATCGGCTTAAAGTAGAGTAGTAAGAGGGTATGTCGTATCGTAATAGCTTTACTATCGTATCGTAATATCGGGAGTAAGTAACCGAATTAAGTTATCTTTAAAGCTCTTTTCCGAGAGGCTTATCCGTTATAACGAGAGGTACTACTATATTATATCTTAAGGATAAATAAATCTCATAGAAAAAGCTTAATTATTCTAGGTTTTCTAACGGAGCTAAAGCTAAGAGCTAAGGGCTAAAGGCTTTATGGAAGCTTACGGGAGCGGCTGACTCATTCACTTATCCTCCTATCTTATTACGATAGGTCGTGGTTAAAACCTACCCGGAAGAAAAAAAAAAAACAGCGCTTGCATGGCCGTAGCAGCGTTAATATACATGCTTTGATAGGCCCAACTCATGAACAGGGCTGGCGCAGATTCGTAGACATATCCTCGCACCGAGTGCCCCGGTCCCGCAAGGTTCGAGGTAGGTAATTTGGGAAAGTCGTCGCATCGGCCTTCGGCGGATTGTTCACGATGCCGTAGTTATCCAAAGTCAATAAACTCTACCCTGGGCGATTTGGCATCTAGAGAAGCTCGGCCGGTTTCCTACAATAAAGTAGAATATTATGGTCTTCGGATTCGGGGTATGACATCTTAACAAATTAAATGCTATTATTTTTCTCTGGGTTTAGTGATACGATGGGGCCAAGAAGACTTGGACGCTGGAGTGGTGTACCTAGATCCAAGTATTCGGCAAGGGGTCGCCTGACGGCACAGCTAACGACAGCGTGAGCGATCCTGCGAAATTCGACTTGGACCTCACTTTATCGGGACAAGCTTAGTGAGTCTGTATCCCCTCTGAGGCTACCCAGACAGTGCGACACGACGCGGAAAGAGCGTGAGCTGGAGGGGTTATATCGAGAGAAATTCCTCTTCATTATCCGTCACCACCTACTTTATGATAGAACTTGCTAGCTCGGTACCCACGTAATTCTATAATATCTCGAATCTCGGAATGGCTCTGCTCTCGTCTGATCCCCGCCTTCTTGTTGCTCTGATGCCAAGTCTGAGATTAACTAGGAACGAAGGCCGCGAGGCGTTATTGTCGTCCCCGTTGATTATATAGACTTCCGCGAATGTCGCCAGTTTGTCGAAGTCCGTCGCGCCTCTTCCTTCCCGATATATTCTGCCGCATCATTCTATGGGCAACTAAGCTGTTCGCGGAGCAAGCGGCCTGGCATGGACGGTTGCCGACAAAAGGGGAATAATTTGTATTTCCTGTTTGGAAAATATTATGCCCATAGCTTAAGCGGCGAGCTTGTGGAGACCGAGCAGAGCGACGGGCAACAGGAGCCAAACCTTCGCCCACCGCTTTGGTCGGAGAAGCGAGCTTTCTATTGATCTGAATAGGACCACTTTTCAAATGAAAACGACTCCATTTGGACGTGTGCTGTTACACGTCTGCCACCGTCGGGCCCTTGGGAGCTTCGCGAAGGACTTGCTTCACTAGGAAATACAGATCCAGATCTAGTCTTTTCAGCCTCTCTGCATTGGAAACCGCCTGCCTTCTTAGTCTATGGCCCACGAGACAATGTCTAGAAGTACGCTTGCGATCCCGAGAAAATCCACACGGTCATTAATGATACCTTTTTGGGACCGGTGAGACCTTAGGGTGCAGGTGGCCTAGAAAGGCCAGACTTGGTGATATCGACGTTGCCTGGGGCTGGACTCTGCATCCTTTGCATAGCGTCTGCATATGTAAGGTCTAAAGTCGTGGGACAGACACGTCCCGAAAGAAGATCCCATGGGGATCTCCCCGATTCATCTTTGGGGGAGAGGAATTCGATACGTTGGTTACTAAGAAAGAACCCCTTTAATCCCTTCGGCGCCGGGTCTTGCTCCGTTTAAGCTTTGAGCGCGGTATCCTACACTCGGCAATATTCTCATAATAATATCTATGGTCTCTTCCCACGATCTCGCATCAGCGCGGACGTACGTCGGCAGCCTGCCCTGCTTCCGTACCTGGGAGGCCGCAGCGGGACCTGTAGCCGGAGCTGCTGAGCGAGGGAAACCTCGAGGGCATACGTGTGTACTTCTAGATACCGTCTGGCTACCGGCACGGGGGCTTATAAGTACCATAGGGCTAAGTACGTCAGCAGATGGCGGAGGCTACGGGCGAAGGACGACGTGCCTACATAGCGAAGTTGAACATCTTTTCTTGGATTCCCTTTCGCTTTCCCATAGTGAGGAATACAACGCTAAGTAATCGTAGATATGGACCAGGCGTTGTTGGAATTTCCATAGGGCTACGCAGGGCGTAGATATAAGACCGATCCATTCCTGTGTGAATAGTGAAATAATAGGGGCTAATAGAAGCTACTCCGCACATAATCAGCCTGCATCTTCACCACGCCCGAATTCTGAAGAAAGGCTTGCAATATTGTCTCACTGCTTCTGAGAAGCTCGGGCTCCTTTCCTTTCCTTTCCTTTTCTCCTTCTTTCTGTTATAGAAAAAAAGGAGGCGGGGTTACACTATTAGAGGTTGGGACGCCCTGGGACACTGCCATGAGCAGTCTCTACCACGCAGGACAACTAATTTATCAGAGGATGCATTGTGACTTGAGCAGTAAATTGACATGCATGCGACGGGATGAGCTACATCACTTTGCGCAAGCTCTGGGCTGCCCACTGCGTAACCACGAGGCCGTGCAGTCAGGCTAGACGCCAACACCAACGCCACAGACTCAGACTGCCCCCCTGACGACGTACCTGGGACAATCCTTGTCAGATTACATCGCAGACGCCCATTCTATTAGCAAGCTTGTTACGGGGAATCCCAGGCGCCTGCACGTCCTCGTTTTCAGGCCCGTAGGCGTATATAGCTTTCTCTTTTCCCCTCTCCGAAAGCACTCGTCTCAGGGAGTTAATCGGCTTACGATTGCATCAGAACATTTACATCATTAGACTGTGCTACGGCGACCAATTTGACCAAACGAATAAACTTGCGAAATGTCTTTCCCACCATTCCAAGCCCACGCCCCATTTCTCCTTTCCCCGTCTTCCTCCTTCTCGGGGGCAGAGCAACAGCCGCCGCCCCTTACCACCCGAGATCTCTTCGGCGCCACCTGGCACATGATCGCCAGCTCTAGCACTATGTGGCAGGATCGCAAGAGTAGCATCACCGTTACTTACTCCGCCACCGCTGACGGCGCCGATGGCCGCGACTTCTATGATGTGGCGGCCTGGTCCGCCGATAACTCGTCAAAACAACATTCTACGAAAGGCCTTAGCTGTCCCGCAGCTGCCTATTCGGGATATGTGTATGCTTGGAGAGGCACAGGGTGGTTAAGACTCATCACTACGCGATGGGAGGTTGTTGGCTTAGGCGTCGTATCTCACCGGTCTGAGGCAGACGGTGCAGACGGTGCAGATGTGGAGGATGACGATAGAGGGGACGGTGCTGTGGTGCTAGTTACCTTCGTGCAGAAGACAACGTTTTCCCCGCCAGCTCTGTCAGTGTTCATACGACAAGAACACCTAAATGGTACGCAGGAAGAAAACGTGGTGAAACGTGTCGTGGCGGAACTGAAATCACAGGGTATGGAGTCACTGCATGCTGAAGTGGACAAACTGAGGCCTGTTCCGTGGAACTGAGCAAGGGGTCCTGAGCTCAATAACGCCTTTTATTTTCGGACAGTATTAAAAAAAACCTAGCCGGAAATTTCGTCCTTTACACTAGTTGTAACGGTTCCTCAGATATATTCGAGTCCGTAAAGAAATATGACTTCGATGAATTGGAGTTTAATACTTTTACACGAGACCAAGGACGTCGTCTTCTGTCCCCCCTCTGCTCCGCTCCCCTCTAGTCGCGGCCCAATTTCCACCCACATTTTTTAAGTCGTCATGAGGACACGATAACAGAGCTAAGCTTCTCCTGGTCGTTGAACAACTAACCGCTCCGCAGAACTCTGAGAGGGAGAGTGCCAAGACGGGTATGTGCCAGGATCATGGGAAGGTCTCTCAACCTGCTCGTTTGCAGAGGGAACATAATAAAACCAGACAGACTGTGTAGGCGGCTCGGCGGCTCCAGGTCCGTAATAGAAAGTACCGGGGGGGTAACTCTGAATTTGGGGCTCTGCAACTCCAGCTGCTGGCGTGGGGCCAGGACGATGAGTCTCGTGCGATATGTTCACTATTCGCACAATTTGTGGGGAATGTGAAGCCAGTGGCAGCAAGATGCTGCCATCACCCCCTTCGGCGGTCGATACTACGCTCTGGAGGATGGAAGTGTCGCCGAGAGCGCCGAAGCCACCTTTGGCCTTCTTTCCAAACCCCCTTCCCGTCCTCGGCCGGTTCGGATCCTCTTTGTTCTGCATTGATAGCCTGCTAATAATGCCCGACCTGCCGCTGCCGCTTCCACCGAGGGTCGAGCGAAGAGACTTGACGATCCACAGCTGGGAGACGTAGACCCTCGTGAAATTGGCGAAGCCGGGGGTGCAGCTGACGATGATGGCTACATGGTTCTCGACGACGCTGCAGATAAGAAGAGACGTGTACTTCCACGTGCCATCATTAGTGTCCAACGCTTCTACTCTATAGACCAGTGACAGAACACTAGCGACGACTCCCCTATTGGCGCAAACTTAGCGGAAAGCTCCCTCAACGAGCGCATCCATCGCGACTTACACTGCGGCAGTCGTAAAGACAGCCAGAATCTGGATCTTCTTCTTCGTTGATAGATTGAGGCTCATAATGACCGGAACCGGCAAGAAGAAGATAAATAGATCCAGGATGATTCCCAGGGCAGACTGGACGACACCCCAAATCAGATCCCTCTCGGGGCGCCCGCTCAACAAGACGCTAGCCCACGTCTCCCCAACATGAGGCGCCGACAAAACTGCCGAGGTGGGAATGTTGGTAAAGTAGATCAACCCGGAGAAGACGATCCCGACGCGGATAGCCATGCGCATCGCTTGCTTGACATCGAAGACCTGGTAGAACAGCAAGAAGATAGAAGCCTTGGAGAAGAACAGCACGAAAGAGACAATGATTTGCTGGGCGAAGAGAATCTACCGCGGCGGTTAGTCCCCGAGCAGGATATTGGCTCTGTGTTTGTATGTGAAACTCACCTTCGTATATGTGCCATCGTACCAGCATGCTCTCACATCCCACTGATGGCGCGCGAACCTGGTCTGAGCCAGCATGAGACCAGTTTGGGCGAGCAGCAAAATCAGCGCAGTGGTGGCGAAGTCTATGTAAGGTGTTAGCCTTAGTATCTCAGAGACGTGCGAGCACTTCCGAGTTAACTGAGACACGAGTTTCGGGTTTTCTTACAATCGCTCCACCACAGTTTCCGCCTGTTAGCAAATAGTCTACAGGCTGTGAAAATGACAGATAAGACGGTCATTAGGATGCATATTGACATAAGGACCGCCACCAGCGTGTCTGGGTTCTCGAAATTGGAGACAGTGCCCGGCGGTGGCGCCCCCGCGGGGTACATGCATAGATCCAAGCCGGGAACTGTGAATGAATCCATGATGGGCTGGCAGGCTAGAATTCTCCCGTGATAGAGTATGTATCGGATGGCTCGGGACGCGTAATCAGAGAGCTGTATGGGGACGAGTTAAGAAGATGGGAAGACCCGCGACGTTATTCAAATGAGGATCCACGGACCTAAGAGGAACAAAACAACTACGAGGCATCTAGGACTTTAAAGACCAGCTCCCGGGAATTGCACGGCGGCAGTACACCATGGCGTACATCCTGTTTAACGAAAAAGACCAAACCCCACGCAGTATTAGCCCCGAGTATACCAAAAAAAGGGTTGGTAGTGTCATTAACGGCTGGGAGGGGTTTAGTAACATCCGCCCCCAAAGAATCCTGAATTGGTGGAAACGAAGCTAGATAGTGCTCTGGCAAATGCGAGCTCACAGTCAGAACGTATGAGGCAACGTAAGACTCAAGGCAGAAGGCTTCCAACACCTCGAGGCACCTTTTCAGCTTTGGTCTTATAAATAGCCTGACTAGGGTGCGAGGAATGCGAGGAATGTAACCCTACACCCGTGGGCTATGCATTCAACAAAAAGACGATTTCTACACAACCCACAAGACGACGGTTGGGCATTCACGGTACCTTAAAGTGCAGATTTGAAGGTGTGGTGGATTAGTTGTGACCGTTACGGCTGTACATACGTATGTGGCTAGCGGGCAAGATGCTCCTATGATATATGCAGGCTGGCTGATCTACGGAATGACTTACTGTATTGGGTTGTGTCGAGAATCCTTCTTCAGACTGCAGATTTTCGCTGATATCTGCGAATGAGAGCCGAGTAACAACTAACTCCTCCAATGTTAAGGTCGTATTAGCGAGGACGCCACCGTAAGCCACCGCTGTACTCATACGCTACGATGACACCAACACCGTGGCCTCCCCGAGCCTGCTTTGCTGTGCCGCATTTCATGTTGAAGAACCCGCTCGCTGTGAGATAGGGCCAGGACTCAAACGGGCGGTGGTCGTTGTGTCACCCACCATGGCCCTTGGCATGGTTGGAATAGGATTCGAGATCAGCCCAGTTGTCAGCGGACGCAACGGTCGACGGACGACGTTATCGTCTCCTCCTCCGAACCATCCCAAAAGCAATGCAGCGAACTTGGAACCGTATCGGAACGGTTGGTTAAGCACGCAGTGGATGAATGTCATTTTCCTTGCTCAAATATGTGAGCTTATATAGGCAGCAATTCTTTCGTTACAAATGAATGTCTTTTTAGCGCGACCGTTGGGAAGGAGGTCAGGATGTAAAGAGACTATTGACACATAGGTCATGTGTTATGACTTCTTCCTAATGCTTGCTCAACGGCCATACACTTAAACCCCCCATTGAGTTGGTCCTCAAAACAACCCGCAATTCAATAATAAGGAATGGGACGGGGCTAGCTAGAGCTGGGTCATGCACCGAGAGAGCAAGAAACTCGCATGCATCTAAACTATCTGCCTTGGAATACAGTTACGTGAAGATAATTATCCTACGAAGCTAATCTTGAAGCACCTTTTTCCTATAATCAAGGTATTAAGCAGTCTTTATAGTACCAAGTAAAGCCATGTTACTAGTCTACGTGTATCATAAGAGTCTCCCTCGAGAATAAAAATACACAAAGGTCGTGGTTGTAGGTGCTAGAAATCTCACGTGCTCCGCTTGCGAATTCGAAACGGGAGAGAATGCTTCAGTCCCCCGACGCCGAGCCCGAATCTCCACGTGGTCACCTCAACGTTATCAGAAAGCATCTCAATGTCATAGTCCCTAGCTAATAGAGCACAGGTGAACAGTATCACGCTCTTGGCCAGGAAGCGACCGGGGCAAATAGAGTGGCCGCCTAGAAACGGGATTAGTCGGTACCCCCTGCAACAATAACAAGGGTGTCGGTAGATTCCTCACCTCCATAAGGAAACCAAGATCCCTCGGTTCCGTCCATCGAGAAGAACGGCTTATTGTCCATTCGTTCCTTGCCGCCGTCCGGCCTGGGTTCCACCCAATCCGGGGACTCACGCACATGCGGTGCCACAGGCCCGCTCTGGGAGTCCGCGGGATCGATGATGAACCGGTCGGACCAAAACGAAGTCACAGGGTGCTCGCCGCCAAATTCATTCCAGAACGAGTTATCCATGTGTGATATTCCGGCGTTCATGAGACCGATCCGGCCCTTGGGGAGAACCCACCTACCCAAATGAACGTCCGTGTGCGGTGAGCTTACCATGAAGTACGTCTTGACGTGGAGGCGGAGGACCTCGGCGTAGACGGAAGAGAGCAGAGGCTCTTTGATAAGCTTGTTGGGGTCTATGTCTAGTAAATGTTGGCCGCCAAAGGAGCCCTCGACGTCGTCACGGACGCGCCGAAGGAGGTCTCTATCCTTGAAAATGTGGAATGCGGAGAACATAGCGCAGGGGATAGTGTTGCCAACAGCACTAATGAAGGGGCGATCAGCGAAATATGATCTATCCGACAAAGATCAGATAATAACATCAGAAAGTGCTTACCCCCACGCTAGCCCCAGGTCCATTCTCGCAAGCGAATCGTCATCGTGGTTCTTTACCGCCAAAAGTTTCTCTTGCCGGTACCTCATGAGGTTCGAGCCCCAGTAAGGATCCCCATCTCCATCAGGACTGATGCTCGACTCGTCAAAGTGCTCCCTGGCGTACTCGTACCAGCGCTTCAGCTGGCCGACGCAGCTCTGACGGGGCTTGTACGCAGACGGCTTAATAAAAGACGGAAGTCCCCTGGCCAACCATGGAACGCTACCATCAAATCCCCAAAGGTCTTGCATAAATTCGGGGTTGAGACGGAGCATCGTCGGCCCGTACAAGCACTCGACGAGAGACGAGCCGACTACGTCCCGGAAAAAGTTGGAGAAGTCTGGCATTTCCGTCCACTCCTCAGAGAAACTTTTCTCTTGCATCCTAGCTGCGAACGCATTCATATACCGCCTAGTGCTGGGCAGCAGGCCGGGGCCACCTAGGGCGCGAAGGAAGCCATGGTGCGTGATATAATCGATACGGTCTTCAGCCGGCACGTTGCTGCCTAGGTATGGCTTAGGGAAAGGGCCCGAGTCGTCGGCGCGGTAGACCGACACGACACGCTCCGGAATCCCGAAGAAGTACTTGAAGACATACACGAACATGGAGATCGGGCTCGAGAGGGTAGACTGCTTCCATATAGTGGCGATAGTCTGGCGGTCCTGAAACGCGTAGATCTCGAAGCCGAGAAAGGAAATCCGTGATGCGGTCAGCCTGCTGTCGTAGCAGCTGCGGGCGGGTAAAAAATCAAGTTAGTAATATAACTTTTGGACAACATCACCACTCCGTGCACGCTCACTTACGTAGCCCGGCGGAGGAAGTTGGCGTTATCCCACACGAATGAGAGGGCGTTGCCCAAGTATGGAACCATGGACGGGTATTGGGGCGGCAACTGACCCCCATCTTTCCGGATCTTCTCGAATCTGTTCACCGAATGCCATCGGTAGGCTTTGATGACATAGTTGACGAGTCCCAGAACCGTCAAAACCGCGCCAAAGGCTGGCAAAGTCCTGATGTCCTTGTTCAGCGATAGACATGCGAGCGCGGATAGAAATGAAAACTCGACAGGAGTAACCCTGCTCATCGATTCCCAGAAGCCCATGGTTGTAGAAGGATGTGATTTAGGGCAACTGAAACTACGCGGAAGCTAGTGGCGACGGCCAGCTACTCCGTTACTTGCCTGCCTTTAATACCTACCTCCTCTCGGACCAGCTTAGTGAGCGAGGAGTTGTTCAGCTGCGAAGTCTTTCCGATGCGATCCTTCTCGCGCTCGTCTTGAGTCCAAAGGGGCATATCCTGCGCCTCTCCAGCTTGGGCAGGTTGAACCCGGCCAAGGTATTCGCGTCCCACTCCGCGCTCTCCCGCATGACCGGCGGGCGTATCTGACGGGTCCTCGGCGGTCTCTTATCAGAGGCTCTCATCGCCTCCCCCAGCCGCTCGCTTACGCCTCTGCTTTTTTTAGCATGGGATCCGTACGGCATCAACCCATCGATACCAGTAGTGGACGAACAGGTCTTGATTCGCCCCGAGGGGCTCGCGGAGTCTGCCGTTGCACAAACACGACAAAATATCACCCTTCATCGTAACGGCCGGGCCTGTGATGGGTGTCCTTCGTGGCACCCCCGCGTAAGCGCACATAGCATATGGGGGCAGCAGACGTGCGGCAACGAGGCGTGAGCCCTATTGGCGTGATGACCAGCTTTTTCGACGGTGGCATCGATTCGGGAGGATTCTGTCCTGCCCCCAAGAAAGGGAGAGTTAGAAACGGGATATTGGTGATCTTGTGATATTATACGGAAGCTTTGCCGGGGCTAGGGCTGTTAGGGTTAGTTGTTATTGTTGATTATACGCGGATGTTAGGTTATACTTCCCCGTAAGACACACGATGAATTGTTTTTATTTAAGCCCTTTTATTGTAATAATATAATGCCAATATTGATGCAGCCGTCGTATTACTTCACGCAACAAAGGCCTAATGGGGGCTGATAAATTTCCTGTTCTAAGGAGAGGTACTCGTACCTGTCGATACTCATTTTATTTTTGAGCAATCAGATGTGCATCCGTCTCCAACTGAATCGATGTTGGTTCTCTCCTCAAAAGACGACCTGCCTAGGAGGTACCTACGCGTAGTTATGACAGTCTCACCACCTGCACAAGTACCCCGAGGTACCTAAGGGATAACGGTACGTCTATTGCATAATCACACGCCTCCCCGTCGTGTGATGGGTCATCTTCTGCTTGTGTAACGTTCCCCTCTCCCCTCATTCTGTGCCTGAAGCAGAGCAGAGCCACAGCAGTTGGGAATACCCCTAGAGCCACCCCTAAAATGAAATCAAGGCGCGGCCAGTTCCGCAAGGGCCGATTAAGCTGACCGACACTGTAACCCTCTTAAGTCTAGAACTGGCAGCTCCTCGCTCCGCCCGCCCGCCCCCAATCTAGACCACTGCCAACACCACCATCGTCCCCTTAGTTGTTGTACCTTACGTGACCAAGTTTTCGAGGTCGACCCGGTCGTCGCGAAGTAGCCTGCCCTCTCTCCTCCTCCTCCTCCTTCTCATGCTGACCCCTCTTGCCTGGATCTAGGTCGACGCGCCGTTGAAGCTCCTACAGCACGATGACCTCCACGCTCGCGCTCGTCCTGAGCGCTGTGTGTACCACATATGTGTTTCTTTCCGCTCTCCTTCACTACACCCAAGACGCAAGGGAGCCTCCGGCCGTCGAGACTTCGGTGCCGTTCGTTAGCCCGCTGTTTGGTCTCGTTCCGGGCATGCAAAAGTACTTGGTGAAACTAAGGTCAGCAACCGCTTCGGGGATTCGCCCCTGATGGAGGCAATGCCGTGCGTCCTAACCAAACCTCCGGCTCTCATGTAACTTACGATATTTTTGGGCTTCAGAGACAAGTATGGGCTCCCGATCTACACTCTGCGCATGCCGGGCCAGCGCATCTACGTCATCAACTCTCTGTCACTCATCCCGCCGCTCCAACGCCAGATCAAGACTATCGCCTTTGCGCCCATCGAGGCCCAGGCGGCAGCCACCGTGATGGGAGTCGGCCCGGCTGGAAACGCGATCATAGGCGCGGACAATATGTTGGAGGACGGTTCGTACCTGGCCACCTTCGTGCCTTCTACGCACCCGGCCCTATCCCCGGGTCCCGGCCTGGACGCCCTTAACGGTGCGGCAATCCGACGCATCGCAGATTCTTTACAGAAGCTCAGCGGCGACGGTTCGACGACGATCGAACTGTTTTCTTGGGTACGCCGAGAGCTGTTCATGGCTACCACCGAGTCCATCTACGGGCCGAAGAATCCGTTTCGTGATCCTGTTCTCGAGCAGGCATGGTAGTATGTCCATACCCCTACCTTAGTCTAGCTGCACACGGCTTGGTTAGAAGGTTCGCTAAGGTGACCCCCGACAGCACATTTGAGCCAAGCATCATGTTCCACATGCTTAAGGCATGGCCGAGCGTCCTGGCGCGCGAAAGCGTCTACGCACGAGAACAGCTCATTATTCCCGCCTTCGAGAAATATTTCGCCGAGAACAGCCACCTACAAGGCTCGGTCCTTGTCCAGTGCCGCTACCAGCACAACGTAGGCCACGGTCTGCGCGGTAGAGATGTAGCAGCCACTGAGATCGGCCAGATGGTGGCGTCCCTAACCAACAGCGTGGCCAGCGTGTTCTGGATGGTCTACCACGTCTTCTCCGACCCCGTAGTCCTCGACGAGTGCCGGAGAGAGGTGGAGCAACTCGTGCAGGTGGACGACAACGATGTGCACACCGTCGACCTCGCCAAGGTTAAATTTTTATGTCCCGTTCTCTTCTCGACGTGGCAGGAGACCCTGCGTTACGTGCACATCGGCATCGCTGCCAGGGTAGTAATGGAGGACATCACGTTCGACAACAAGTACCTCCTCAAGAAGGGCGCCACCGTCATGACCGCAACCCCCGTCCAGCACACGGATACGTCGGTATGGGGCCCGACGGCGGCGAGTTTCGACCACCGCCGATTTCTGCGGGGGCCGGGCGGGAAGCGCCCGAACCCTGCCGCGTTCCGCGCCTTTGGCGGCGGGGCGGTGCTCTGCCCGGGGCGCCATTTTGTCAGCACCGAAGCCATGTCGTTCGCGGCCCTGTTGCTGCTCCGCTTCAACCTGAAGCCTCTAACCAAGGACGGCGAGTGGGCCGTGCCGCGGAAGCAGTTCCCTATGACATCGTCTATGCCGACGCCAAAAGATGAAGTCCGGGTGGAGCTGGTGCCGAGAGACAGACGGGAGTGGCGCATCAACTTCTCCGCATCCAGCAAGGGTATGGAGATTACCGCTGAGGATGTGGCTGGGGGTGACCATTAAGCATTTACCTACGATTCACATCGTGCTCCTAATCGTGTCTAGGCCACGCCCGTTAGACAGGTTCAAGTGGCAATTAATTGTGTATATCATTCGTCGAACGTGTCGACCCCCAAGCGAGTTGACAGGTGAACATATAAGATTTCTGTGTGTTACATTCTCGCGATTTTTCCTCTACAGACGGGCGGGGTTTAGTTCCGCTGCCGTAGTGAAACAACAAACCAACCTCATTGTTTTACAGCCTTATAATAGCTGTTCATAAACCGGGCGCGTCGTGTCTTCCGTTAACTTGCTTTGGGCACCGTGCCCGGCCCGTTTGAGGTCCCGATCCGTCAGGTTGTCGAGATCATCCTAATACTAATTACTGCTTCTCCACTCGTTATCAGAATTAACTAATCACTCTATGAGCAGCGGCAGCTGGCAGAAGCTGGCGAACCTACCCGGACATTACGCAGCAGCGAGACCACACTACCTACGTGAGGAGCACCGAAATTGCGCCAGGTTGCCATACCAATTTCCAGTCGCTAGAACTGTAGGTAGCTGGGTAGCAACGGGAAGCCGAGATTTCCAGTTGGAGATGAAGGATGCGGTAAGGGAACGGATACTACGGTAAGGTGGGGTGCAAATGAATACCGTGCCTCCTCCCTGCTGCCCCCCTGCGTGAAACAAAAGGTAGAGATGAAGTCGTAACTAAATATTCTCAACCCTGTATATCGTCCCAAGGGCTGGGCGCAAGGTGAGCCGCCGTGACAGGGTGCAGATTCTGTAGAATGCAACAGGCAGATAGGTACAGATACGCAGGATCACGTATTCGCGATACGTCTCGGTAAGGTCGACTCAGGAGTGCGAACAGAGCTTGGCGAGTTGAACCCTCTGGTGTCATACCGGCAAAAGTAACATCCATCCTCGTTCGGAATATCCGTTATCTCGGCGGTGCAATTTGTGATGAGAACCCTCGCACCAACAGTAAGACGGCGTGGAAACGAGGGCGGCGAGAGGGTAGTATCGCTTCCTTATTCCAGACATGACCCACCACATCCCCGGGACAAGGACAACAGGTTCTCGCAAGGGACCACCCTCCCCGTAAGCCTAGCAAGGCCATGGCGAATACCTACTCATACATGGGGGCATAAGTGCCAAGTGGAAAGAAATTGAACGATGAAAGATGAGAGTTGACCAGCGTGCATGAAGAATGCCCCGTACGTAGGCTCGAGTATGCCACGATAAGGAACTGTATCGGCGGAGAAAGTGCCGGTTTTCGGCTGTTATTATCTTCCTAAAAAGAAAAGAGCAGTTTTGAATAATTGAATAATAACTACCCAAGGTAGGTAGTGATTAGGAAACCCCCGCGGGCCGGGTTCGATCAGTAAACTGCTTACGGGCTGCGCACTGAGCGGTCTCTCGGTCCACGCTGGAGACCCCAAGGACAGGCAGCTCTAAGGTTGCACAAGCGGGTGATTGTAGGGAAAGGGCCATATTATTCGTCGTATTGCCGAATCTCGCGGGCTCGCCTGAAAACAAACACACCGTGCCTGGAATCCTTCTTATCCTCTGCAAATTACTACCTGCTGCTATTGCTGCTATACAGCTCCTCCCTCTGCTCGCTGGCCGCCGCCCCTGCGTGGTTGTGACAGAGAAACGCTAGCTAGCCTTGCTGATTCACGACGTCGGCTGCCCCGCGAAGCTTGAGCTGTCGGACTCAGTAAAAATCCATGGTCCTCGATGGCCGCTAACAATCGCGATGCCGTCTTTCGGGACTGGCTCCAGAGGCAGCAGCAGAGAAAACGCCTGCAGCTGGGCGTTTCCTTCCGGGACCTCGCCTGCCACGGCTTCACGTCCTCGGCCACCTTCCAGCACACTGTCATCTCCTACGCCCTAGCCCTTCCGCGGCTCGTCGCTAGGCTCGTCTCGGGACAGCCGCCCGCCAGGGTGCAGATCTTGCGCGACTTCGCTGGCCTAGTCGAGGCTGGCGAGATGCTGCTGGTCCTCGGGAGGCCTGGCAGCGGCTGCTCGTCGTTCTTGAAAGTTCTATCTGGCGACGCGCACGGCATCCACGTCGGCGAGGGGACCAAGGTCAACTATGCCGGCATCTCGTACCACCAGATGCACCGCGACTTCAAGGGCGAAAGTATCTACCTCGCCGAGCTCGACGTGCATTTTCCCGAGCTCAGTCTCGGCGAGACCCTCACGTTTGCCGCGTCGACGCGCGAAGTCGGCACGAACACCCATTTGGCGTCCCAGGCAACCGGTCGCAACGTCGCGGTTTTGTTCGGTCTGTCGGGCGCCCTCGATACCAAGATGGGGAACGCCCTGATCCGCGGCGTCAGCGGCGGCGAGAAGAGGAGAACGAGCATCGCGGAAGCCCTCATCAGCGGCGCGCAGTTCCAGTGCTGGGACAATAGCACCCGGGGCCTTGACAGTTCCACAGCCCAGCGATTTATCGAGCTGCTGCGGAGGTCGACGAGTGCCTTGCGATCGACTGCGATCATGAGCATCTACCAGGCATCAGAGGCCATGTATCGGGTGAGTAACTCGGGAGAGAGCGCGTCACGCGTGAAATGTGAGGTGAAGGTTAGGTCCCGCTGAGGCTAACACGGTAGCCAGAGTTTTGACAAAGTCACGCTGCTATACGAGGGCCGTCAGATCTATTTCGGCCCCGTCGAGTCTGCCGCCGACTATTTCCATAGGCTCGGCTTCGCAAAGCCGAGCAGAACGACGAGTGCTGATTTTCTCACGTCTCTCACCAATCCGGCGGAGCGCATCGTCCGGGAAGGTTACGAAGATCGAGTTCCCAGGTCCCCGGATGAGTTCGCCGCTATGTGGAAACAGAGTCCCGAGGCTAAACGGCTTTTAGAAGATATTAGTGCCTTTGACGACGCTCATCCGCTCCTGGTTTCCAAGGAGCAATCCCATTCAGCTGAGAGTCAAACCCCGATCAGAGAGATGTTGGCGTAAGTCAAGATTACTAGCCACCGTACATCCCAAGCAGCGCTAATATCGGCACCTAGTCTTCGCTCGTCGACTTACTTAATCCCAATAGCCCAGCAGAGCATCATCTGCATCCAGAGGGGCTTTCTCCGCCTCCGAAATAACTATGTGCCCGCCGTCTCGACCGTCTTCGCGAATGCCATCCTTGCCATCGTGGTGGGCAGCGTGTACTTGAATCTCCCGGACACAGCCGATGGCATGGACCAGAGGGCAGTTCTCATATTCTTCTCTTTGATGATCTGTGCGTTCTCGCCTGCTTTTGAGGTGAGCTGTCTTGCGTTTTCAGCGCCCTATTTACTTGAGTTGCTCTTTACTTACCATGAACCCCCTCAAGGTCCTCACCATGTGGGCGCAGCGGCCTATTGTGGAGAAACACGACCGATACGCCCTATATCATCCCTTCACTGATGGTGTGGCTTCGATTCTATGTGATCTACCGGCCAAGTTCGGCACCTCGGTCATGTTTCACATTACGCTTTACTTCATGACCAACCTCCGCCGCACTGCTTCGGCTTTCTTCACCTACCTCGTTATCATGTTCTTCATTGTGTTAACCATGTCAATGGTTTTCCGAACGTTGGGGTCCTTGTCGCGGACACTAGAGCAGACTATGGCTCCTGCATCGATCGTTGTTCTGCTCTGCATCGTATATACCGGCTTCGTAATTCCCGTCCCATACATGAAGCCTTGGCTTTCATGGTTCAGGCGATTAAATCCCATGGCTTATGCCTACGAGAGCTTGATGATCAATGAGGTGCGTGTGACTCTTGCGTTAGATACGAGACCGGTACTAACGACGGCTGGTAGTTTCGCGGCCGTCAATTCCCTTGCTCCTCCACCGTCCCCGCCGGGCCTGGCTACTCTAACGAGGCCGGTATGAGTGGAAAGGTCTGTCCCGTCGTGGGAGCTGAGCCGGGAGAGCCTGATGTGCAAGGATCGGCCTACCTGCTCCTGAAATATGGCTACGTGCAAAGCCATCTTTGGAGAAATTTCGGTATCATAATTGCCATGATGGTCATATTCTGCGCAATTCACTTGCTGGCGGCAGAGTATATCCCGGCTCAAAGATCAAAGGGCGAAGTGCTTCTTTTCCAGCACGGTTACCGCAAGAACCAGCCTCAACTAGCGTCTGACTCTGAGAAAGCCGCGTCGTCGCCAATATTTGCCCAGGATATCAGCGGGCAGGGGGATCGCGATGGGAATGAAACGCGCCCCGAGACTGTGCAAACTAGTATTCTTCAACAGTCCTCGGTATTCCACTGGAACGATCTGAGCTACGAGATCAAGACCAACAACGGCACGAGGAAGGTCTTGAACAATATCAACGGATGGGTCAAGCCAGGGACGTTGACTGCTCTGATGGTAACAACCCTTGCTATTCGAGAGAGATGACGATTTTAGAGCCTAGACTAACAAGAATCTGCTAGGGCGTTACAGGCGCTGGGAAGACAACACTACTCGACGTTCTGGCAAATCGAGCAACCTTCGGAACAGCCAGCGGCGGTGTCTACATCGACGGCACACCGCGGGATATAAGCTTTCAACGCCGGATAGGTTACGTTCAACAAGAGGATATCCATCTCCCTACCGCCACCGTTCGTGAGGCTCTGCAGTTCAGCGCATTGCTTAGACAACAAGGGACCGAATCGAAAGAAGGCAAGTTGAACTACGTTGATAACGTCATCAAGGTGCTGGACATGGAGCCCTATGCCGAAGCCGTGGTTGGCATCCCCGGCAATGGTATGTGAAGAGATCATTGTTAGCCGAAGTTGTCTTTACTAATCCTTGGGTAGGCTTAAACATCGAACAGCGAAAGCGATTAAGTATCGGAATAGAGCTCGTAGCCAAGCCAGAGCTTTTGTTGTTTTTAGGCATGTAGATGCCCCCCGTGGTTATACCTATATGTTCTATGTGCTGACTATATGCGGTTGAAGACGAGCCGACGTCCGGACTCGACAGCCAGACAGCATGGTCCATCTGCACACTCCTCCGTAAGCTAGCAGACCACGGCCAGGCGGTCCTGTGTACGATTCATCAGCCATCGTCCCAACTGTTTCAGATGTTCGATCGCCTGCTGCTTCTCAGCGACCACGGGGAGACAGTGTACTTCGGTAATATTGGCCGAGACGCTTCGGCGTTGATCGAGTACTTCGAAAGCAGAGGCGCCCCAAAGTGTCAGACAGCAGACAACCCTGCCGAGTGGGTCCTGAACGTCACCAGCAATAATGCTGGTACTGCCACTGTCATTACCGTAGACTCGAGCAAGTCTTCAGTCACAGAGCAGTCTCGAGAAACGGAGCATCCAAGCTGGTCGAAGCAGTGGGACGAGAGTCAACAGAACCACGACGTACAAGAGTACCTCCAACGGACCACGGCCGCAAAGCAATCGTCTTCGGACAATCCTTTGTCTACGGGTCCGGGGAAGAACGAATACGCTGCCTCGTTCTTTCAGCAGCTAATAATTGTGACAAGCCGGATTTTCCAGGAATACTGGAGGGACCCGACGTATCTCTATTCGAAGCTGGCTCTCTGTGCTGGTGTGGTAGGCGGTTTTCACTCTTTTTCTTTTACCTTTCTTGCTCTCCTCAACCCCTTTCCCGCATTACGTCCCCTAACCTCTTCTCAGTGCTTCTTTAACGGCATCTCCTTCTATAATACCCCGCTCGACATGCAAGGCTTCATCAATTTCGTCTTCTCCATCTTCCTCATCTCCCAGCTCTTCAGCACCCTCGACCAGCAGATCATTCCTCGCCTTGCCGACGGCCGCAGCCTATTCGAGGCTCGCGAGAGGCGATCCAAGTCGTACTCCTGGACCGTGTTCCTCGCAGCCAATATTATCGTCGAACTGTGGTGGCAGACAGTCGCCTCTGTCATCATCTTTGTGTCTTGGTACTACCCTACCGGCCTTTGGCGGAATGGCGACGCGAGCTTTGGAATGAACGAGAGGGGAGGCCTGGTATTCGTGCTCATCTGGCTGTTTTGCCTGTGGATCACAACTTTCTCGCAAGCTGTCGGTGTGGGTATCGAACACGCGGAGACGGCCGTGCAGATTGCTACCCTCTGCTTTTGGCTCTCGCTGGTGTTTTGCGGGTGAGTAGTGTATAGCCCAAGCGATTTATCCAAGTAACTCCAAGACTAACTCAAGCTCCCCAGTGTCCTCGTCTCTCCTAACGATCTTCCTCGCTTCTGGATTTTCGTCTATCGAGCTTCCCCGCTGACGTACTTCGTCGACGGGATGGTGGTGGCCGGCCTAGCCAACACACATATCGAGTGCTCCGACATACAGCTCCTCCATATCGACCCTCCTCCGGACGTGTCCTCCGGCCTTACATGCGGCGGGTATCTGGGTCCGTTCCTACAGTACGCCGGCGGAGTTCTTAGGAATCCGGCAGCGACGACGGACTGCCTCTACTGTCCAGTTGACCAGACCAACAATCTTCTCCTGCAGTTGGGAATAGAGACAGAGGATGTGTGGCGGAACGTGGGGTACATGGTTGTCTATATGGTCTTCAACACACTAGCCACCTATGCTATCTACTGGATTGCGAGAGTGCCTAAGACCTGGAGAAGGAAACAGGCTTGAGTATGACGAGTGGGTATACCTTGAACTAGGGCGGCATGAACTGGACATGAAGCCGCGTACGAGATTATTCTTGGCCAGGGGACCTGTCGTTAATAGTAGCAGATTTGAGTTGCGGCGGACGTGGTTATTGTAGGCAGCAAGTAATATGGGTTGTTGAGCTGTAATGTGCTGCATGCAGGAAGGCCAGATGGCGGAGGCCGTTACATAGAGGTATATAGGCTAACGATTGGCGATGAATAATTTAATGTCGGCCCTGTCAATCCGCCTTAGTTGCTTTCAATAATACTAAATGTCTATCACATCGAAAGGTGCATAACGTTTACACGAGACCCGAGTCTCATTTCTCTGAGACCCCCAGAAGACTCTTATTAATACTTATTAACCCCCCTTTTCTAACATATGCCCTCATAATCGTCTTTGTAGCACAGGTGTATTCTATTATTGATTGAAGTAATTTTTCCACGACATATATGTTTGGTGAGTATGATTCGCTCCATATCTCAGCTGAGCAGACCTCTTTGGGACGGAGAAAGTGACAACAGACGGCGGGTACTAAAGCAAGTGAAACCCATTTCCCGCCCGTAATACTGCCATGTAGCTATTCCACCGGCGGGAATTTAGACACAACTACCCTGGTCTCGGCGTAAAAGCACACGAATGTATGCCACGCTATCTGCCCATCCGTGTGGAGAGAATATGGGGAGCGGGGATGTTGAAATTTTGGGTTTACGGCTGTTGTGTGGAGCAGACGGACAAGATTTTCCACCCGTAGGAAAGCCGTAAACGCTGTTATGAAAGACGAATCTCGTCATTCTGCCCCCTGCTGATCCCTCGCCGCTTTTGGGGGCCAAGCACCGGCGCTGCACACCCTGACGCTGGCACTAACCCGCTGTCCTCAGCAGGGTGTGAACAAATCCAACTACAACCGAGGGAGCATAAAACGGCCACTCAGAGGGTTCGCACACAACTCCCTGCCATCGCAACATAGCCTTAGTTCGGCAGCCATCTGTTGGTTGCTCTTGTGAATTTCTATTGATTTGGCGTGCTCTCACCTTGGGTACCCGTAGGTTTCCTCCCAACTTCTTGCGGACGTCTGTTTTTTGGCTCCTGCTAAAGGCGCCGAGTCTATCTGCCCCTTACATGTTGCCGTTCACATCAACTTTTACATTATGGATACTGCTTCATGAGCTCGCTGAAGGGAAGCCATCAATCTAGATGAAGTAATCGAGACTGCCTTGCAAAATAGACTCTCAGACCGGTCAACGATTGACCCTTATATTGTCTGCAGAAAATTAAAGCTAAAGAGTAAAGGGGTAAACTCAACGCTGTCCACAGCTCAACGCTATCCACAACTTAACACTATACATCGCTCAATACTATCCATCACTCAACGCTGTCTATAACTTAACGCTATCCTCTCATTAGGCATCCGAACCCTAACGTCGAATTCGACGGCGCCAATCCCTGAATTTCAGACATGGAACATGTATGGTGGCGTAATACTCCGCTTCACCATTTGGTCCCTCAGTATATAATTCCACTGTAACATGGTTTCGCTGATCTCTAGGGCTAGAGTGGGAGGACATGCTGTTAATCGCATATTTATATTAGTAAAAGTTTATAGAGAAGCTTCCACATAGAATGATACGTACACAACTATAGCAGCAACACAATCGTCATATCTAGGGTGCGCTTCAAGCCAGGCCTCAATAGCATCTTTGATATATGATCGATAACCAGCATTGTCAGGAACGGTTTCTCGGAATCGAATATATTGGCGAGTGACGACCATTGTGAGGAGCAAGAAAGTTTTGATGTACTGAATGTAGCAAGATTGGTGCAAGCACGAACTCCAGAGTCCGCTTTAGGTAAGAAGATGTGAAAGCAAGTTGGATTTGATTCAAACTTAGATTGTGTTGCTATGCTTGCATCAACGTTATGATGAGGACGGGAGAGTGATAACTTATATATAGGAATTGCCTCGTGGTTTAATTGGAACTAACATATCGTTTTGGTCCGGCGAACTTCCTCGGCCATGGCCCAGACCTTAGGGATATTACAGAGGGGCCAAAAGCTGTGATATTAGAGGAATCAGCCCCAATTAAGGATGAGAATACACCGAAATGTTTGATAAGATTTCTAATGTAAGACATTTTGCTTGAATGACAGGCTCGGAGTTTAGAGGCCGGGCCTCGCCGGACCACACGCCGGACCGCACGCCGGACCAGACACCGGATTAAACGCCGGGCTAGACGCCAGACCAGATGGCCAGAAAGTGAGATGCCAGCCAAGTGTTTCCAACATCAGAGTTTGAAACTACAGATGTGAAATAGAACCAGCCGGCACTGTTTTTAGCTGATACTATTTTAGTTCATACTTCAAGCAACAGTTGTTAAATGTAGCAATAGGCGCTGGACTCGGCCGGCTGCACTGGCTAACAGCACAACCAGGGGGAACTAACATATCTTAAAAGGAACCAACATGATCCACAATCAACCAGGATGTTTTAAGGGAAAAGATATAATAGGCTAGATACCTAATAATAGCTTCACTGGGCCGACTGCACTGGCTAACAGGACAAATAAAAAATAACCGTGTTTCAAGAGAAACCAACATGTTCCCAACAAACATCTCATGTTTCTGAAATAGCAATGTGTTTGGAGAACCAAAACATGAATGTGCCAAATGACAACGGGGGGATCCACGGCTCAAATCCAGCCAAACTCCAGCCACATTGCTGACAAAGCGAATTAGTCTGCCCTCCGAGTTCGGTGCGTGCATAATTTTGCCGGCATATAAAGTCGAAGAACCCCGCTACCTAGCATATACCCAAATTCTAGTTAGCCTCATCTTCCCAGGACTGCTACAATGTCATCACCGCCAGGGACTCCACCAGGTCATATTCCTGAGGATGACAGTAGCTACCGATTCCATCAGGACGGCACTGCCTGCGAATGGTGTGAGGCTTATTTCCCGGGTAGCTATCATCCGGTTCACATCGAGGATGTCTACCATGATCGATATCGAGTAATCCGGAAGCTTGGCTATGGTTCATTTTCTACCGTCTGGCTTGCTTTCGACATGCAGTTTGTCTCCCGTCTACTTTCATTCTAACTTTGCAATCTAAATTCTCTATTTAGTTCATCTTGCTACAGAGCATTGAAGATTCTCACAGCATCTGCCGACCAACAAGCTGGTTGCTCAACGGAGCTGCTACTGCATTCCCGTCTCACGGGAAACAATGCCTACTACCGGCATATTGTTTCTTTAATCGACTCGTTCAATCACAGTGGTCCCAACGGTATACACCTATGTCTCGTCTACGAGGTTATGGGGCCGAATGTCAACACCATGCTGCGTCTATCTCCCCAGTGCCGAATCGGAGAAGACTGGGAACGTCGATTTCCAACACAATGGACACGACGTATTTTGCGAGATGCCCTTCTAGGTTTGCAATTCCTACATGGCGAAGGCATCGTCCATGGCGATTTCCATCTGGGGAATATCCTTTTTACGACCAAACTCGCCTGTCCTACACCAGACCATATCGAAGGTCTTCTACAGTATCCTGACGTACATAATATGCTCAGACGAATAGATGGAAAAATAGACCTATGGGCTCCAAAGTATCTGCTAGAGCCGAAATCTCTCTACAACTACACATCACTAGACCTAGATCCTTTGGTAAAAGTCAGTGACTTAGGGGGAGGTAATGATACATCGCCCCATCTAAATTTCGACTGCTAACCTTTATCAGCATATTTGCAAGGCACGAAGCCGACTGCAATCGTGATGCCAGCATATTTAAGAGCTCCTGAGGTAGTTTTGGGTGATCGGCTGGGTATAGGTGTCGATATATGGAGCTTTGGATGCCTAGTCTTCGAACTTCTTACCAGTCATCCGTTATTCTTCGTTGAGAACTTAAGCGGCGAACGTTATGATGAATTAACCAACGACGAGCATTTGATACAGATCACCGAGACGATTCAGCCTCTACCCACCTCTTTCTTCAAAAGGTGGCCCAGGGCGCATATGTATTTTGGGCCAAATGGAGAGCGGCTTGGTAACGACGATCTCGAACGCAGCTCAGATGTTGAACCAGCTGGTGAGCTATTTGGCCCTGAAGATGCCTTGAGCGAGCTGGATGAAGGTGGCATTTCTAATCCAGGGATCGATGCTGATTCCCAAAGTCAAGTCTCATTGGCTTCTTCCCGGCGCTTTGACTCTATCGAAAAACGATTTAGGGCTGTCAAGCCGGCTGATATAGACGAGAGAGAGGAGGAGGAAGTGATAGGGCTGATGCGACTGGCTCTGCATCCTGACCCCGCCAAACGAGCCTCAGCGGCTCAGCTTCTTCAGCAGCCATGGTTCCAACAATGATAGGAATAGAATGTTTGCCATAGGCTTTTGAAAATTCTAGAACTATTATAGCCTCTTTTTATTTCTTGATCTTGACTAGTTTCACATTAAGACTGTGGGTAGGCATAGGTAGTAAGGGACGTACTGGTAGCCAGAGAGGAGAGGTTATATGAAATACCCCTTAGCTGAAAACCCCCAGCAATTGTTTGAGTAATTGTAGTTATGTAAGGTTGTAGAAGGTATTTTAATATTGAGAAAGAGAAGACAAATCGAATGGTGATAACATAATCCTGTCACGAAGGAGCAGCTGATAAGCAGGTACTGCGTGCGAGGAGCGAATCTAGTGCTGCAGCGCATCTTGACCGGAACCACGAGGTTTGTATCGCCCGTGGCCAAAAAGAACGAAGAAGAACCGCTGGTTCTGAACGACAAATATCGTTCCTACAGCTGGCCATTGGGCGAGAAGATAGTCGCCGGTCTGGGCTACGAGCCTCCGCCAAACTTGGGTCATAGGGCCTGGGGCGGTGAGCGTGAACTTCGACACCCGCCGTTCAGCAGGGAAGTCTTTCGTTGCATATGCGAACGTTTCCACATCTACTTATCTATCTCGTGCCATCAGCCGCGCAGACGTGCCTCTTTTCTCGCGGGAGATAGTGAAGATGGGCCTGCCGGGCTCGGACGGCTCGGACCACCCGGCCATTGGTAGGCACGCCTCCGCCCTTCTCCAACTCCGCGCTTTCGTTGACAACACGCGTGCCAGTTTACAATTGTAGATCGGCCAGCACCTGGAGGAACGACCTCACGCTTTCTTTTCTTCGGTGTCTCCGAACTCTTAATACATATAGACTTTTACATTCAGGGGTTGAGATCGGCGAAGCCACAAGTGTCTTAGCTTTCGCAGGTACTGTGTAGAAGCTTCAGGAGACTGAATACCGTGAGCCGCATGAGCCCCTGGTTGAGGCGATACCCTATAGTATCTTGTATATTGCTTAGAGCCGACTTTAATGACTTAGGGTAGATGGATTCGATGCCATGCTGGATGCCAATTTTCACATGGGTAAGTCGACTGCTATACGAATATATTTCAGTGGTTTCTTTCTGCTATCCTGGAACAGCACCGTCAAGTCTATGGAAATCTGCCACCCCTAGGATATCCATGTGTCGAATTCCAACCTTGCCTACACTGTCCTATTAGGCATCTTTTATATTTGTCGGTAAGCATATAGTCAGGTAGGCTCTTCCGAATTTAGATCACCTCGCCCATATACACCATATTGCGATTTATGCTCATCCCTGCATTCGCCTTTCTCTCGCTTTCATAGAAGACTGTCGTCCCTGCTAGGATATATCAGCCACGTCGCTCTACCTTGCCGCCAGGAACTAATGCCAATTTATTCGGAGAAGAAACCAGGGGGTCCTTTGGGCCTATAGATTACCTGCTTACGCCATTTATATCTGATTCGGCACGGTATCTCTGAGAGTATCGTTCGTAAATCTGGTACCGAAGGTAATATGGCCTCTTCAGAAAGAATGAATACAATCGGACAGGCTTGGAAACAGTTCTTGAGACAAGAAATCAACATGAGAGACAGAAGCATATCGTGTTAGATCGTAGAAACCGAATTTGGGGTGTATGAGGTCCAGAAAAGCGTTCCTGAAAAGCGTTCCTGTAAACTTGTTCCATTTCGCTTTGCGGCAACTTCAACTGCGGCAGCAAAATAAAGCTCCTAGACTGCGCCACAATCAGCACGGCTTACACACACACCCAGCACACCCCAAGCACACCCTGCACACGCTATAAGTACAGGTTAAAGCAGCAACAGCACCGGCCCACCCACAAAATAGGAATCCTTCAATGACAAGATTCGTCTCTTATATTAGGCTGTTATAGGAACTTCAGTGTCCTCTCGCGGGCCTGTGGGGTAGATCGCTGGGTACCTTTCCCGAGTGCTACCCACCGAAGAGGCTGGGGATTATAGCGAGACGGGTAATAAAGGGCCGGCGGTACGGCTTGTCCTTGATGCGCTCCAACTTGACATTCCGCTACGAGGTAGGCAAGTAGAATATTATATAGTAACATAACTACGAGGAAGAGGGCTAGACGAATTTTCGACAACTCGCAGTCCAACTCCAGGTTCCACATCGAACCGTGGCAAGATGAAGGCCTCAGTAATAGCCTTCGCTACCGGGGCGGCAGCCTCGACGTCGTACTTGACGTGGATGGCGGACTCATTCATCCAACACGGCGTCAACCCGACGCGGAATTACGATGAGGCCACTATATACGAGGGCTACGAGGCCGCGTACGCGCTCACCAAGGACGACAAGTACGCCCAGTGGTACCGCTCGCAGATCGACGACTGGGTGGTCCTGGAGAACGGCACGATTCGGGGCTGGCGGTACGACTACTACTCGCTCGACGACTACCGCATCGGCAACAACATCCTCTGGTGGTACGAGCACACGGGCGAGGCCAAGTACCGGACGGCGGCGGACGTGATCCGCGCGCAGCTGGACCGGCACCCGCGGACGGCGACGGGCGGCTTCTGGCACCGGCAGCCGGCGTACCCGCACCAGATGTGGCTCGACGGGATCTTCATGGCGGACAGCTTCTACGCGAAGTGGACGCGGCTGTTCGACGCGGCGAACGAGACGGCGTGGGACGACATCGCGCGGCAGTTCGACAACATCGAGGCGCACACGCGCAACCGCACGACGGGCCTGCTCGTGCACGGCTACGACGAGAGCAAGGCCGCCGTCTGGGCCGACCCGGTCACCGGCGCCGCGCCCCTCGTCTGGAGCCGCGCCGTCGGCTGGTACTTCATGAGCCTCGCCGAGGTCGTCCCGCTGTTCCCGCGCGCGCACCCCGGCCGCGCCCGCCTCGCCGCCTACTTCGTCACGCTCGCCGACGCCCTGCGCCGCGCCCAGGACCCCGCCTCCGCCGCCTGGTGGCTCGTCATGAGCGACCCCTACCCCGGCGCCCCCGGCAATTACATCGAGAGCAGCGCCTCCGCCATGTTCGCCTTCGGCTGGCTCAAGGGCGTCCGCCTCGGCCTCCTCCCCGCCAGCGAGTACCTCCCCCCCGCGCGCAGGGCGTTCCGCAGCCTCATCGAGCGCTTCGTCAAGGAGAACGAAGACGGCACGCTGAACTGGGAGGGGACCGTCAGGGTCGGGTCCCTGGGCAGCAACGGGACCTACGAGGTAAGCAGTCTCTCCCACCCTCTCGCTTCGTTCTCACTGTGCGCCTTATAGTCCGACACTTGCTAACGCACCTGCGTCCCGATCCTAGTATTACATCTCGATCCCCATAGTTTCGAACGACCCCAGAGGCGCCGGACCGTTCATGCTGGCTGCTTATGAGTTGGAGAAGTTATAGAGTGCGATGAGCTAAACGAACTATGCAAATGGTAGTCCCGATTTCGTGCTGCATGCCGTGCGGCGTTCCTACGCATAGTCTCTGACCCCGATATGCTGTGTTTGTGCTACGTGTTCGACTCCCCCAGTGCTTGGTTATCGTTCGACCTTCTCTGCTTTCTTATCGCTTTTATGTCGTGACCTTCGAGACAAACCACGATGATCGCAAGTAGTTCCCAAGAAACCCCTGCCTGGGGTCCTTTTATAACCCAAGCCACGATACCTAGAGAGTTGATCTCGTAATGAGTGTTAAAGAGAAACAGCGTGGACTCGCTCTCTTATAGGGACGACCACAGCTGCGAACGACTGGCTCAGGGTGCCGTTCGACAGGGATTAGCTGCAACGGCAGTGCAGCAGTATTATCTAGAGATCGGCCAGCTGTGGATGGCAGCTAGGTGAAGTAAGAAACAAAGGCATAATGCAAAATGATAACGATCGGGTATATAAAATAAAAAGGAGTGTATAGCGATCTGTATCCGTATGTGGCCTGTGTCATGCCGAGTTTAGGAGGGCAGATGGGCATGCTCTTACTAGGCTTCCGCGCATGAACCTAGTATGAGTAACGAAGATATAATATCTATAAATATGGGTAGTATATCTTAATACGCATCTAATACCCATGTACTGTACAAGAGCCAATCAGAATGTATGGTATATAGCCAGGTCCTCTTCCATCTCTCAAACTAGTCAGGCACCGAACCGATACAATACTGACCCTAAACTGCATATACTAATACTAATACATCGCATCTTAGAAGTAGCTTATATACAAGACGTTACTATATGTCGACACCAGTCAATAGGTTAATGAATGCATAAACCTATGATATGAGTAGTTTCTGATTGATTAACCACCCTCTAAATTAGCGACTGATGCTGATGCAGTCTCGAGATAATACTTATGGCAATGCCTGGCCCTCTAAGCCATAAGATCCCCTTTCCCTTATTTGTCGTTCTCCGAGGGCTTTCGCGTGTCTACGCGAGGCGTCTTCGCTCGGAAAAGGATCATCATGCCGACGATGCGGATCTCGACGTCCTCGAATTCTGCCTCGAGGGCGCGGCGGAAGTCGTCTTCGGTGTCGTCCCAGTTGTTGAATATCCCCCAGTGGTTGAGCCCCGCCATGCACCAGCGGCTCAGAAAGTTGGGGAAGCGGGTATTATGGCCGAGGATGGAGCAGCCCGCCAAGACGCCGCCTTCGGCGAGCAGCGTCTTGAACACGCGGAACACGCCAAACTTGGACTGGCCCGGGACGCAGTGCAGCAGGTTGAACATGGTGACGGTGTCGAATTTCTCGGCGCGCAGCGTTTCCGGCAGGGACTCTAGGACGTCGGCGGCGACGCACTTGACCGTGGTGTTAGAAGCCCCAGAGAGGATGCGGTCCTTGACGAACTCGAGCGCGGTTTGACTGAGATCCACGAGGGTGAGCTCTTGCTTCGTGTCGTCGCCAGATAGGCATCTCAGGGCCGTGGCGGGGAACCAGCCCGTCCCCACGCCGCAGTCGAGGTGTCGTTGGCTAAAGTTTTCCTTGAAGAAAGGGAGAAGGACCGAGCGCGTTGGACAACGCCAGAGGGCCGACATGTTGAACCAAAGGACATAGACATCATACACTGAGGTGAGAAAACGTTTAGTGTAGACCTTTGTGTGAGGGGTGTCCTCGAAACGGCGAGGAGCATCTTCGTGGGCGTGTTCCATGTTGGGAGGCCGGAGTATGGTGCTACAGTCAAGTTTTGTGGAAGACGGAGTTGGCGTTTCCCACGGAAGGCAATGCCAGCTTTCAGCACCGAAGGGGAATACTACCGTATTTATGTGGAAGGTTAGATATTTGCCCCCTGATAAGGGACCCTGCTTGCCGCGGGTGTACCTCTGGGAGAGCTGTTATCAACGATTCCACTTTGTCCGAGGCAACACTGCATATGGGTGTGAATGCCGTACTGTCTGGGAGCACGAGGACAGGATATTTATAACTGGGTGGCAGTGGACGCGTAAGTTGAACTTCGTGTCCAGTATCGAACGTCCCGTTGTGAATTTCCTGCACGGTACGAGGTGGCTGAAGTTTCGTGATTCTAAAATACCGTCGGACAGAGCCCAAGCCTATTATAGTTATATGACACCGCAGAGGGCAGCGCAGGTACTAGTAGCCTTTTCAACAATACGATCTCTTGGGTAATCGATCAACACAACGTTTGGGTATCCAGATAACGGAGGTGTCTAGCCTCTCTCCTTGTGGTATTTTCTGCGTAGCGACACGTAGTATTCCGTCCAGCCAGCTAACTGCTCACTGCATGACAATCACTCTCACAACATGTAGCATGATTTTCTCACACCGTATGAGGTTCTTCTGTGGTGGCTATCGTGCGTAAAAGCGATACCGGAGCGGATGCCACGTGTTTGAACATCGTACGTGATGTTGTGTGAGGTTTAAAACAGCGCTGCTACTCTAGGATATGGAGAGTTTGGTTAGGGAGGGTATGAGGGTTTGTCTCCTCGGTTTTATACAACACGGCGCTCAAAAGGCTCAAAAGGACTGTTGATGGTTCTTTCTTACCAGCATACGATAGAGGCCACAATTCAAAGAGTTAGATTCACTGGGCACAATTATCACGGGGACAACATTCAAATGGCATATTTGCCTCCCTGTAGCAATCATACTTCAGTATTGTTAATAGTATGTGTGATGACCAAACACCTATCTCTACGTGTTTGTTGTGGCCTCGTTTCGAGAACACCAGCCCTGATGAGAAAGAGAAGGTTAACTGTCACCAGAGACCTGATAACTCTTGTATCTCAACAATGCCATTTTCTACCCAACCAGTAATCTGCTCCATAGCGGGGGTGTCACGTAGAGAGCCACCTATACATGGCTCCCTACTTCCTCCCTGGTTGCTCGCTTACCTAACCTAGCTCCCAGCTTGCTTATATAACATAGCTTGCAGCTCCCTATTGTTTATATATAGGTAGCTCGCAGCTCCTTTGTTTATTTTTTTCCTTTTAAGATAGTTAGTTAATTTATCTTCTTACATTTTGTCACGTAGAGGTGGCTCCTTAGGTTGCTCCTCTTCATTGCTTACCTCAATAACAAGAGCTCCTATATATACGCTCCCATTGCTTTCATTCCTTTAGCTCGTTCTTAGATCTAAGACCTTTTCACCTTTTGCTCCTCCTCCCGTTGCTCGTGAGATAGCTCTCTGCGCGCATTCTCGTATACGTAGTTCTAGCTACGTGATAGTTATGAGCCCGGTTAGCGCTTTAAGGACCTCCTTCCTCCTTAGAGCCGCAGGGCGCGCGCGAGCTCTTCGATATCTCGTCTCTCCGAGCTTCGTTTTTGCCCTAGCTCTCGATGCCTCTTCGCTCGCCCCAGAGCTCGACTTGATCGAGTTGTAAGGCAGACGGCGGGAGGCCGCTAGGAACTCCCTCAGTTTTTTCCTTTCTCCTTTTCTCCGACCGCTTCGTATTTCGGCGAGCGGGGTAGTCGCTCTGGTAAGTAATGCGCTCTAGTAAGTAACGCCGTTTCGGTTTAGCCCCCGATTAATTTAGCTACGGGCCTTGGCTCGCTTCAGGGGGTTAATCCGACGTCGGAAAACGGAGACTAAGGAGGGAGATAGCTCGTGGAGGAGTAAGATCGATAATAAGGAATCGGTCTCTCCGGGGAGAACTCTAGGGAGTAATCGGTTCTCGCTCTCCTCGCCGTCGTAGCAGTCTCCTACTGTACGGCAAAACCGCTCCGGCTCCCTGAAGTACTGCCTTCTTATTTTTCGAGCTCCTCCCTCCGTTATCGAGAATAGCCCGAGGGGGTAAGGAAAGGAAGGGAGCTAGGGCGTAGACTAACGCTACGAGCTCTTAGTTGAGCTACCTGTAGCTAGAAGGCGAGTGCCAGAAGTAGTCTGGCAGGACGCCGTTTTTCAGAGCGCTACGAGTAGTTATCGTAACTCTCCTCCTTAGTCGAGCTAGAGCTCGGCCCGAACCTCGACGTAAGTTGCCTAGTACCGGAGCTCTAATAGTATCGAAGGAATTATAAACCGTCCGTTAATCGGCGGCGGTTATAGGTCGAGGCATACTTTCTAAGGAGGACTAAATTAGCTCTCGGATCGTAGATCGACTACTCCCCTAGGACGAGTTACTCTTAGGGGTTTATTAGGTAACCCGTCCGTTAATTAACGACAGTATTTACCGGTCGATAGTAGCTTTCGTACGGGTTCGATTAAACTCCGATTATAGATCGACTATCCCGGGGGGAGTTACTCCCGGGGTTCTTTAGGTCCCTGAGAGCGATTAGATAGGAGGTATTACTCTCGGGAAAATTCGACTAAAACTCTTAACCGGTTATAAGTTAGGTTACCGCTTCACGAGCCACCCCTTCGCGAGCCGGGTATTTTATATAAGTTTACATACAAACGATTTATCCCCGTAAAAAAACGGAAAAAGATCGGAAAAATCGGAAATTTACTTACGTAATCAATTAACCTAATTAAATTAATATATGAATTCTTCGATCTTTTTCTGCTAACTAATATAAGAAATTATTTGCGATTTAAGGTTTTTTAAAACTACACTAACAGTTTCCTATATAATTTATTAGTAAATCTGTTAACTGTGCTTATATCAACATCTTTACCTATTTCTTTCACGGTATTAAAGTGGGTCTATTACCTAATACGTTATTATATAAATAGAAAAATGGTTAATATTAAGTAATCTCATTTTTATTCTTTGATTCCGTTTTTATTTAATTTATTATTTTTAAAAAACCACGTTTTTAAATAGGTTGAAACTTTTTAAAATCGTACCTATTTTCACAGTAAGAATTCCACTTCTCGGACGGCCCTATTTTTCTATACAAAGAGGTTTTAGAAAAGAACATCAAAAATCAGTGTTTTTAAAACTTATTTAATTTAACAAAAATCAGAAAAAAAAATATTACATAATATTAACCGTTGTTTTATTTATCATTTAAAGGATTAGGTAATAGACCCATATCACGTAGCTATCGGTAGGAGCTACGTATACGAGAGCACGCGCGAGGAGCTATCTCACGAGCAACGGGAGGAGGAGCCACGAGAAGGTGAAAAGGTCTTGTTCTATCTAAGAACGAGCTCAAGGAATAGAAGCAACGGAAGCGTATATATAGGAGCTCCTGTTACTAAGGTAGGCAACGGAGAGGCGTAACCTAAGGTACTACCCCTACGTAACACACCCCCCAGTCGACGGCGCGTACACGAGCGACGTTAACTGCTCTCTCACGTAGAGCAATAGAGCTATGTACGGCGCGAAGATAAACGGCGCGAAGATAAAGACGAGCCATCTGCTATACATAAGGGAGCCACCTCGAAAACCAATAACAAAAGAAAGCTCGTTCCAGAGCTGTTAGCCCTCGAAACACGGCATCGGGAAGCTCTTCCAGGCAGGTCGCTTTAGTATGTACGCGAACAAGTCCCGGGGTTAGTAAGCGCCGGGCAGGTCGCTCGTGCGAGCCCGGCAGATAAATCGGCGCCGGGCATGTCGCTCTCGTGCGAGCCCGGGAGTATCGATGCCGGGCAGGTCGCTCTCTCGCGAGCCCGGCAGATAAGGCGCCGGGGGAGGTCGCTCTCAAATACTAGCGAGCCCCGGCAGATTGTCGATGCCAGGCAGGTCGCTCTCTTACGAGCCCGGCAGATGTCGTCGTCCGTTGCTTTCTCCGAAGAATTGGGCCTTTCTCTCTCGGTAAGTCAACCTCTGTACCCTACCACGGCGTGGTTAATAGGTAGCAAGAGGGAATGGTTGCTCGTAAGTAAACGGGTGGTAGCTCTCTCGTTATGCGGACCCGGCTGGTAATAGCTGAACCATCCGAAGAGGCCTCTTTCAGAGGAGCGCGGGACGGGGGGGTCCCCCGGGGTGCTCTCGGGGGTGCTGCTGATAGCTCCAAACGGCGTAAGAGTATCCGATAGCAGCAAATGGCCCTCTCTCCCATTCGTTTCCTAAGGGCGAGCTATCGTATGGTAGCTCGCCGCCGCTTGCATCCTAAGAACGAGATCGAGGGGTCGTGGGAGAGAGATCGGGCCGATGGGGAGCCCTCCTGCCGTGCCTTACTACCCAATCAAGTGGAGCTCTAGGGTAAGCGAAGAGGGCGTAAGGGGAGCCCCCTGAAAGAGGGCGTAAAGGGAGGCTTTCCTACCGTGCCTTGTAAGCTGTATACTAGCTTAGGCATAACCGGTAAAAAAGCGACGAGTCGAAACGCCCGGGAGTAACTCTGGTTATCGCTTCTTCCGGCGGGCGATATCGAAAAACCCCGGGAGTAACTCCCCCTAGGATAATCGATCTATAATCGGGGTTTAATCGAACCCGTACGGAAGCTATTATCGACCGGTAAATACCGCTGCTAATTAACGGACGGGTTACTTAAAAACCCGGGAGCAACTCCCCTCGGGATAGTCGATCTACGATCTGAAAGTTAAATTACGCCTTCTTTAAAAAGTACGCCTCGACCCGCGAACGCCGTTAATTAAGCCGGTTAATATACGTAAAAACCCGGGAGTAACTTACCCTGAGGTAATCGATTTACGATCGGGAACTAATTAACTCTCCGAAGGTACGCCTCGACCTATTAATACTGTTAATTAAGCTAGCGTATTTACGTAACCGAGCGAGCTACTAGTAAGGTATTATAGTAGTACGGTAAGACATACCCTCTTAATACATTACGTAATACGTTATAATAG